AGGTTTTATGTTAGATTCCCAGAACTTACTTGCCTTACAACTGGAAGTTTGTACCCTTTGACCAGCATCTCTCATTTGCCCCATTCCCCATCCCCTGTGCAACCACCAGTCTAATCTACTCAATTTCTATTTGTTTTGCTTTTTTTGATTTCACATGCAACAAACAATATTTGTCTTTATCTGTCTTACATTTCATTTAGCATACTGCCCTCAAGATTCATCTGTGTTGTTGCAAATGGCAAGATTTCCTTTTTTTTATGACTGAATGATATTCCACTGTATGTATATACCACCTTTTCTTTATCCATTTGTCCAGTGATGGACAGTTAGGTTATTGCCATGGTTTTTTTAATTGTGAATAATGCTGCAGTGAACATGAGAGTGCATCTCTTCAAGATGGTGACTTTATTTTCTTCAGATATATATGGAAGTGGGTGTGCTGGGTCATATGGTAGTTTTATTTTTAGTATTTGAGGAACATCCATACTATTTCCTGTAGTGGCTGTACCAATTTACATCCCCACCAGCAGTGCACAGGGTTCCCTTTTTTGCACATTCTTGCCATGGCTTCTGCTGTTGTTTGTTGTTCAGTCAGTAAATCATGTCCAACTCTTTGCTACCACATGTACTGTAGCATGCCAGTCTTTCCTGTCTTTCACTGTCTCCCAGAGTTTGCTCAAATTCATGTCAATTGAGTCAGTGATGCTGGGTTTCCCAGGTGGTGCTAGTGGTAAAGAACCCGCCTGCCAGTGCAGGTAGATGTATGAGATGCAGGTTCTATTCCTGGGTCTGGAAGATCCTCTAGAAAAGGGCATGGCAACCCACTCCAGTAATCTTACCTGGGGAGTTCCATGGATAAAGGAGCCTGACATGCTGTAGTCCATAGGATTGTGAAGAGTTGGACACCATTAAGTAACTGAGCATGCAGGCACACATGAGTCGATGATGCTGTCTAAGCATCTCATCTTCTGCCACCCTCTTCTCCTTCCTTCAGTCTTTTCCAGCATCAGGGTCTTTTCCAGTGAGTTGGCTCTTTGCATCAGGTAGCCAAAATAGTGGGGCTTCAGCTTCAGCATTAGTCCTTCCAATGAATATTCAGAGTTGATTAAGATTGACTGGTTTGATCTTGAGGCCAAGAGACTTTTCAAGAGTCTTCTCCAGCACCACAATTCGAAGGCATCAATTCTTTGACTCTCAGCCTTCTTGCGGTCCAGCACATATTGGAAAATTGAAGCCAGGAAGAGAAAGGAAACTTATAGAATGAGTGTATAATAGTTGGGACTAAGACCGAAGACTTTTTTAGATATTTTTCCCAGTTTTATTGAGAAATAATTGACATATATTACTGTGTAAGTTTAAGGTGTACAGCATGATGGTTTGATTTATGTATATTGTGATTACCTCAATAGATTTAGTTTTTTAACCTTCATCATCTCATGTAGATACAATACCGAGACTTTAATAGATTAACTGATCACTCTGGAAATCAGAGTGAATTTCTATTAAATTAATTTTCTGATACTAGAGTTGGCATATATGCTTAAGAAGACAATAAAATAAATGAGTAACTTGTTAAGTGTAACTAACATTCCTTGCTTGTGAAACACTGGAAGTATTTGACTTTAGGTTTTATTTATTTATTTTTTGACTTTAGGTTTTAAAATCTTGATATTTAATTATTTTATGCTGTAGGGGTGTGAAGTGACATGCATTTAAGAAGTCTGTAGCTGGATTGCTTTAAGATATAGTTGTTATTGTATGACTTGGGTTTTTCAGAGAGAAGTTGTATGCAGGTCATGGGACCAGCAATTCCTGAGGTTTAGGAATGAAAGACTTCATTGATTTACCATTGAGTTTGGGGGATTTAAAGCCATTCCTAAGTTTGGTGGTAGGTGAAATTAGCATTGAAAAATTGCCTGATTATTTTTTATTACTTTGTCTACTGTATCTTATTTCTCAGAAACTGTGTTCATGCCTAAGATGACATTTCTGTGGGATTGCTGTGGCTTTGCTGTGTTTGCTCCTTCACTAGAAGGATTTAAAAGCCCAGACCAACAGAGGTTATAGTGTAGTCATAGAATGCTTCTTTCTCTTCCTTGTAGTCCACAGCATTTTCTTTGTACTTTATTACTTTCTCATGATTTGCCTTGTGCTGTGGGTTCTGGAGAAGGAAATGGCAACCCACTCCAGTATTCTTGCTTGGAAAATCCCATGGACGGAGGAGCCTGGTAGGCTACAGTCCGTGGGGTCACAGAGTCGGACTCGACTGAGCGACTTCACTTCACTTCACTTCTTCATGGTTCTGGTGGCTCAGATGGTAAAGAATCTGCCTGCAATGTGAGACCTGGGTTGAGTCCCTCCATCAGGAAGATCCCCTGGAGAAGAGCATGGCAACCCACTCTAGTGTTCGTGTCTGAAAATTCCATGGCCAGAGGGGCCTCGTGGGCCACAGTTCATGGGGTCACAAAGAGTCGGATGGGACTGAGCGACTAACACTTCATGGGTTGTTCTGTGCCTGTCTCTGCTAATAGATTTGAGCTAGAGGATCCAGTTTGGAGTTTCCTTTTTGTAACTCCTTAGTGCCTCAGTTAGAGCTTTCTAGTATTTAGGTGTTCCTTTTTGTGCTTATGGTATTTCAGGGATGCTGAGAGACTCATAAGATAATATGTCTAGTCCAGTCCTCTAGTTTTACTTGTAAGGAAACTGAGAAGCACAATGATTTACTCAGTGTCATCTAGTTGCTTGGGAGAGCTGTGTTCTAGTCTCAGTTCTGCTGTTTGTTCCGTTATGTCTGGCTGCTGCTCAGCTGCTGCTGGTTCTCTCTACAATAGGGGAGGATTGTGAAAGAGGAAAGAAACACTGGGAGGATATAAACAGATTACACTTACATTACTGATGTACTGCAATTTACTGCTCTACCAGTCAAATATTTTACTTTCAAATTTGGGAGCCCAGTCTTCACAGAAAGACTTTTTTAAGAGTTCTACACTTCTTCTAGTCTGCATTCTAGAAATACCCTTCTTTGTTGTGCTCACTGGGTAGAAGTGCTGGCAAAAGGAGGGGACTTTTATGTTGTCAGTTTCTAGTCACACTTCAGACAGCTTGGGTGGTAAATTCCAGGTGTCTGTGATGATGACAGAGAATAATGAGTTGAGGCCCTTTGTTGAATTTACCCCTGCTCCAGATGGAAGGAGAGTGATGAAAATAATTTAATTTCTTAGGAAATTTGGTACTTTTGGTTGAAATTGTTTTTCCTTCCTCTCCTATTCCCTTTTGCTTATTAGAAAGTATTGATTCCGAAATAGAGAAAGTGAGTTTATTAGATTTGGGGTGGACATTGATTAGCTGTAACCTAATTATAAATCCTCAGAAGGAGATGTTTGTAAACATGTGCTTTTCACATCCAGGGACTTTGGTTTCCACTATTCCTGTTAATCAACTGGTTGAAGCTGAGCACATGAAAGATCTATATCCACTAAGCTTAGAATTGCATTGCTTTTGATTTATTTTAATAGGATCCTCTTGATTTCCAATTTATTTTCCCCCGATAAGGACATCTTCCTCTTGACAACCTATTTAAAAGACACAGGAATGTTTTGAATGGAACCTCTATTTCATGCTTTAAGGCAAAGCGATGATCAATACAGTGTAAATTGCCTGAAAGAATCTTCTCTTTTTTTGTTGTTGTTATTTTTTCCTTCAGTTTTCCTGGATCATAAAGGAGTAAGAGGTCTATAGTGAGGCTTTGATAGAGATAGGTCTAACTAAAATTTTAGGTTAGACGTAGGACTTCTCAGTGACAGGCATATACTGAGCATTTACTGCGAACCAAGTGCTTATGAAAAAGGTATAAGATACAGTCCCTGTGCTAAGGATGCATAACATCCAGTGAGGACATTTTCTGTGCTTTTAGAGCTCAAAAATGCATCTCCTTTGGGGCTATACGTATTAGAGAAAGATGATATCTGAGACAGAGTCTTTTATGCTGTTGGATTCATCTCTTTATTGAAGTTTTGATTTTAATTTGAAACATAGTGTATATTTTCCAAATGTCATTGAACAAGATTAGTTTTCTGCTGCTTTGGATTTGTCTGAAAGTGAAATCAGTCTCCTTACTACCATCCATACTTGCCATTGGATAAAATTAAGTTTCACAACTAAAGCCTAAGATTTAAGGGAAAGAGAGGAATTTTGTCAACAGAAGAAAAAGTTGGGGAAGTGAGAGAATGTGTAAATCCATGTGGAGACCTGTGGCATTTCAAGTTCTCACTTGGAAAAAATTGAGGATTCCTTGAAGCAAGATGGGAAAATTTGGGCATGATTTGTGGAACTGCTTTTATAGAGAATTAAAAAATACACTGAAGTTATATATATGTGTACATATAATTAAATTTAAAGGGAGTTATATTTGGTTATTTTTAGATTAATTTTTGGTCTTTTAACTACTGTTTTCTTCCTTGGGTTTCTTTGCAGAGGAATTTCTGAAGGCAGTCAAGTCCAGAGTGATTTATATGACAGTGAAGGCCAAGTACTTTGCAGTGAGGAGGACCTACTTACTTTGGGGAAATCAATGGAGTACATCAGTCTGCAGCACACTTCCTGCCTTAATGGTCCTAAGCTCAATCAATACTTGAAATTTAACTTCACCAGCAGTCTGTGGGCAGTGTGTGCTTCGCAGCCTTTCCTCCATCAACCTCAAATATATGACCAGACCTATTGCAGATGGAGCTAGTTACACTTTCCTGCTTGGTTTTGGATCTTCTTTAAGTCTTGTCCACTGACATGTTTTAAGGATGTAAAATGTGTTTTGCTATAGACCAAGTTATGATTTAAACCTTGAAATTACCTGGTCAGAGGAGGGGATGTTGGACAAATGCACAAAATCTATACCATGGCTATTTATCATTTCTTCTTCCTAAAAAATTTCCCATCGAGAGGTATTTCAATACTCTCTCCAACATCTTAGCATTTCTAGCACCAACTGTGGCTTTCTTTCACAGATTCTCTCACCATGGCACAGGTAGAGAAACGAGGGGGTTTGCTCCGGAAATCTTCAGCCTCCAAAAAACCACTGAAGGAAAAAGTGGTGCTGATGTATGATGAGATCTTCATGGTAAGGCCTGGAGCTCTGACATTTTTCACAGCTTGACTCAGTTTCTTGTTCCAAAATGAGAATTAACCTCACCTCTGCCTGCTACTTTCTAGTTCTTCAGAGGGAAAAAGAGAACAAGGGTGAGAGTAAGCTCTCTCATAGTAGAAATTATGATCATGTGTTAATTAACATAGATTGTTATTATGTTGTTCTTCTAGATTGTTGCCTCTTGCTGGGTAAAACAATTAAAAGAGGATTGCTCTTTCTGAATATATTTAGGAGTTGTCTTCCTTATGATTTGACTTAAGGACCTTTCTATCCTAGATGTCCTTAGAAGTTCCCTTTGGCCCTAGAATTCTATGGTCCAGATATTTTTTTTTTTTTTTTTTGTTTTTTTTGTTGTTGTTTTTTGTTTGTTTTTTTGGTCCAGATATTTTAAAAAGATGCACTGTTACATTCTGACTCAAGTTGTTAGTGGATAGAACAATTTCTTAGTTAGGTTGTCTCATCCTCCAACACTATGAGATGACTAAGGAATTATTAGCAATTAGATCGGGGATTTCTTTGGGTCTTTAGAACTGTGTATTGACCGTGGTCCAGGCCAGTGTTGTAAAATATACCCCTTCATGGAAGTTTAGAGTAATTAAATACCCTGCATATATATTTAACTTCTGAAATCTTGGTCGTAAGTAGTACATGTAAATGTGTAAAACATGTTACTCTTGTAAAAGGAGTTGCATATCTTGTGTAATTCTGTGGACTCTCTTTCCTAAAAGGAGAATAGTGATAATATTTACCCTACCTGGCTCACTGGGCTGTTGTATTTCATGTATGTGAATGGGCTTGAAAACTGAGCACCCGTAAAAGTACAGTGGGGATGTATCAGAATATGACTAACTGGTTCTTCACTTCTCGCTAAGAAGAGGAAGATTTGAGGGAGATTCTTTGAGTCATTTAACTTCTGGTGCAGGGAATATATATCCATGCACAATGTCTTCCATTTGTGGAACCCCCCCCCCCAAATTGTTCCCCATTACAGCTGTTTGGAATGACCAAGCATTTTCAGAGTTAATTGTGAGAGGTAAGATTGACCCTATGAAAGGCATATAGTGACTCTTTCAAATGTGTTCTTAATGCTTTGGTGTTAGCTGGGTATATTGAATCTACTTATCTTCTGGTTTCAGACAGAGGACCCTAGTAAGTGCAGTCCTCGGTTTTGGGAGGAGCTCTTTCTCATGAAGGTAAGACTTCAGGGCATCTGTGGATTTTCTGGTAACTGACATTGCCTTCACATGTGTTCTAGGTGCTACACTAAAAATGTACTCAGGCCCTTATTGTTTCCGTGTTAGGTGAATTTAGAGTACCTAGAAGGCAAGTTGGAATCTCTTGATGGTGAGGAGTTAATGAAGATCAAGGACAATATTAATTGCTTATTTCAACACTGCATCCAGGCTCTGGGAGAGGAACATCCAATTCGAGTGGTTAATGCATTGCAGGTACATGGCTGGGAGAATGGGGAAGTCTTGTTTATAAACTGTAATACATCTATTGGAACTTGAGGAACCTAAAATTACCCTTAGGCTTGAGGCTTTTTTTCCCTTTATTTCTTTAAGTAACCAAACATCTGTGCTATGTTTTATTTAGCTATCTTCCTAGTTAAACAAATGTACGTCTATAGTAGTAATCTTGTCCATTTGTATAATTTGATCTAATGCCAAGGTGGATTGTTTGACAGGATTTTTATTATTACTTGAAGGAAAGTAAAAGAGAAGAAACTCCAGAAAGGGTGCTTAGTCTACAGCAAAAATCATGAGACTTTCTTAATTAAATAGATAGTGTTTTCTTATATAAACAGTATTTTCTCACTAGATCAAGAGTTCTTATTCTGAGGTTTCAGAAGGTCCTTGACTCCCTGTAGTTTTATGTAATATTTTATGTGTATATGTACATTATGTGTATATGTACATTTTTTTGGAGAGCGGGCTTTCATCAGATTCTCAAAAGGGTCGGTAACTCTAAAAACATTAAGAATCATTGTTCTTAATGCTAAGTGGCATTATCATGCGGAAGATTCATGAATAATTATTTCTTGAATTACTGTTATGCCTAACATTGAGCTGGTGGAATACATTATAGTCTTCTTGAGGGTAAAGATGGTTTTATTCAATATTTTGTTCCTAGTGTGTAGATCAGTGCCTGGCAGGTAGTGTTCTAGAAGTAAATTATTTTGAAAGAGTGAGGGGCAAAAATTTTTTTTTCCCCAAAATTTCTAAAGTTTATAGTTTAGTAGCTCCAGTGTAGCTTAGATTGAGCTGAGTACCTAGGGTGGTGATTGGCAAGCGTAGAATATGAAGAAGTCATGACAGTGTAAAGAATTTTATTGGAATTTTTGGTAGATTGGGTTTAAGTTTCTAACTTAAAAGTTGGACAGATCACTTTGTGAGCTCCGGTTTTCTCACTTGTAGAATGTAGAAATTACCTTTTGAGCTGATGCCCCAGAAAGAAGGACCATGTTTATCCTGTATCTTTCTTAACTTTTGGACAGTAAATTCTACATTTTGAGCATCACAGTTGTTGGGACCTCTTCATTGCAAATTGAAATGAAAGTTGGAAATTGTACTTCCTGTAATTACAGTGACTTGCTCTAGGGGCATGAATTGTAAACTTTTTAGTTCAGTGGAAATATATTGACATTAAGTCACTTGGTGAACCATAGAATTATAGTACATTATTGTAATAATTGACATTTATTGAGCTTTAACAAAGTTAAGTTCCAGGCTAGTCCAGGAATTTTAACAAAGTTCCAAGGACTATTCTAAGTATTAATTCACATAGTCTTCACATCATCCTTATGAGATTAATGCTATTATTATCCCATTGTATAGATGAGAAAAATGAAGCACTGAAAAGTTAACTGATTTGTCCAGGCTCACACAGTTAGTAAGTAGTAGATGGGGATTGTAATGAATTTTTAAGATTTAAATTGATCAGTTGTTATCATACAGGGTCTTCTATAGTTACTAAAAATAATTACTAAAGATGATAAACTATTTTGTAAATTGTAAAATTAATTTTAAATAAGGGCAAGGTCTATCAACCCTATGATTCAAGCTCAAAAACAGTTTCTTATTTTTGAATATCACCTTCCAATCTTTGTCTGCAGTGTAATTTTTAAAAAGAGGATGGCCAGAAAAGAATAAAAAAGATAACAGTTTCAGATACTGTTCCTCTTTTCATGTCTAGATTTTGCACATATTAAGACCCCGACTGTATTCTGGAGCTCAGAGCATAGAGCAGTTGATTGTCAGCTATAGGAGGAGAAGGTTCTGAGGTTGTAGTGTGAGGCTACTGATCCAATGCCCTTTTCATTTTGAGACTTTCTTTCTAGAAAGAATTCTTTCTCTCATCTCTGCAGACCTTGTGTGCACTCATTCGAGGAGTCCATCAAAAGAATAAGTCTACCTCTGGGTTTGACATTATCAACATGCTGATGGGCTTTGACAAGGCGGAGCTGTGCATGAAGGTGAGGCATAAGCTGCAGATGTGCCTGTGGGTGTCTGCTTCTGGCAGCTGTTGAGGAATACCATCTGCAGACAGTTAGATGTTCTAGTCATCTAACTTAGATAGACATAAATGATTGACTTGGCCTTGAATTTGGATATTTTTACAGATTTGGTTTATCCTTTAATAAAGGAAAATTTGAAATTCAGATTTGTATTGAGGCATCTTTTCCCTGTAGGATAAAGACTGAGAAACTTGTGATTTACATCATGACCATACATTCTTAAAAGCATGTAAGAATTTAAATAGAAGGTAACAAATTAATACACAAGTATATTTTAGTTCTAAACTTTGAAGTTTTCTTATTTAACACTGATTTTACCAGAATTCTCATTTCTACTGTTTGATGCTTTTTGAGAAATAGCATTATCAGTATGTAATTCACATATACAGATCATCCTTTTATGGTGTATAACCAGTAGTTTTTAGTATATTCATGCAGCTGCACAACCATCACCACTGTTAATTCAGAACATTTTCATCACCCCAAAAAGAAAACATGTGCCATTATCAGTCATTCCCTATTTCTTCTTCTCTCCAGCCTCTGGCAACCATTAATATGTTTTATATCTCTATAGGTTCACCTCTACTGTACTTCTCATATAAATGGAATCATATCATATGTAGTCTTTTGTGTCTGGCTTCTTTCACTCAGTATAATGTTTTCAAGGTTCATCCATGTTGTACCTTGTACTTCATTCCTTTTTTTGGCTGCTTAGTATTCTACTGTATGAATGTATCATATTATTTTACTTATCCATTCATCGGTTGATAGACATTTGAGATGTTTCAGCATTTTGGCTGTTATAAATAATGCTGCTATGAAGTGCTTGTAAATGTGGACATATGTTTTTAATCCTCTTAGGTATATACCTAGGAGTAGAATTGCTGGATCATATGGTAATTCTATGCTTAACATTTTGAGGAGATTCCAAACTATTTACCAAAGTGGCGATACCATTTTACATTTTCCCCAGCAGTATGTATGTGTGTGTGTGTCTGTCTGTCTGTGTGTGAAATGTCTATTCAAATTCTTTTCCCATTTGTAGGTTGAATTATTTGTCTTTTTATTGTTGAGTTGTAAGAGTTCTTTACCTATTTTGGGTACAGATCCCATATCAGATACCTGATTTATAGTACTGTCACTATCTTCAGTGAATGTTGTTCATAAGATGAACTTTGAAGAACTCGTATTTTCTCATTCACTAAATTTAAAATAAAGAAATCTCTGTGCCGAAGAATGGGCTTCCTTAGTGGCTCAGATGGTCAAGAATCCACCTGTAACCCAGAAGACCTGGGTTTGATCCCTGGATTGGGAAGATCCCCTGGAGGAGGGCTTGGCAACCCACTCTAGTGTTCTTGCCTGGAGAATCCCCATGGATGGAGGAGCCTGGCGGACTACAGTCCATGGTGTCACAAAGAGTCGGACACGACTGAGCGACTAAGCACAGCACAGCACATGCAAAAGAATCCTTATAGTGAATAGGTTATTTTTAAAAAGTTACAAATATGCAATTAGGAGTGCACAAAGATTTAGTACCTGGAGTCTTTTTTTTTTTTAAATTTTTTTGGCCATACTGCATGGCATGTGGGATCTTAGTTCCTTGTTTAGGGATTGAACCCTTGTCTCCTGCATTGGAAGTGTGGAGTCTTAACCACTGGACTGCCAGGAAATTCCCTGACTTCATTCTTTTGACAAACGTTTATTAGGCTCCTATGTGCTAGGCACTGGGGATACAGAGGCAAATCAGACATGGCAACCATCCTCAGAAAACTGATAGGTTAGTCTTCATTTTTCTCCCTTCCTCCAGACCTAACATTATCCACACTGACACCAGAGTGATGTATCTTAACACTCAAATCTTGGTTAAAACCCTTCATTAGTTTCCTGTCACTGAAAGGATAAAGACCAAACTTCCTTATTAGCCTTATATAACTTTTGTGATCTTCTTTCTATTTATTTCTCAAATTGCATCTCTCATCACTGTGCCTCACCTTTCCATAATAACAAACTGCTTGTATTCCAGCTGCACACCCAGGACTGTTTTCATTCCTTGTGTGTCTTTGATCACGCTGATGTCTGTCTAGAATTCCTTTCCTTCTGAAGTTTTAATTAATTCCTACTGATTTTTCAAAGTACAACCTGTCCCTTAGGAGTCCTGGAATAGGTAACATCACAGCTAATTCCTTTCCTCCATATGTATTTCTGTCATAATAATCATTAAGTTAAAGCTGTTTACTTATTTTTCTCTCCTGGTAGACTAAAAACGCCTTGAGAGCAAAGGTCGTTGTTTTATTTTTACATTTTCTTTGAAAACACGAAATTTGGCACATAGAATCTACATATTTGTTGAATTGAAGTAGCTTATTTTGAATATTCACTCAACCTTCCAGCATGCTAAATCTGTATTCTCCATTCATTTTCCTCCTTTATTTAATGAAAAAATTTCTTTTTTTCTTCTTTCTTTTGTAGTATCTAAGGATTTCATCTTTTGACTATATTTGGTATGACAGCTGATTGTTAGTACAAGTGATAAGCTCTGATCATTTTGTTTAGTAGACTTGACCAGGATGAATATGGGCCAACTTTGTTGGATAGTGCACGTGGCCAGTGAATAGCTAGTAGTGATGTTATCTTTTTGTTATTTGTTCAGTGTGCCTGCATCAAGTGATACGCTTTCTTTATCAAATAATGAAACATGCTTACTTATTTAACTATTTTTATTAACCTTTAGCTTAACCATTTATTTTTTAAAATTTATTTAATAGAATTTAATTTCACTTAGGTTATTACTTATTGTTTTTAGTTTGTAGATATATTATTTAATCATTATTTATCTTTGAAAAATTTACTTCATTCTTATCTAAAGGTTTATATGAGGGTGATAGGCTGCAAGCATTCATTTGGTAGAATAGTGAATTCTTTGTTATTCTTTGCAGTTGTCCTAAAGCTTTTTCCTCAAAATACTAGACTTAGAAGTCTTCCTTTTCTTCATCTAATCGTGCAAGGCCTAGGCCTCAGGCAATGATATGGTTGCTTCATTTAATGTTTCTCACTTACTTTACCCTGCGTAACATAACCCAGAGTATGGGAAAAACACGGTGGAAATGTTATTTGTTATGGTTTAATACTTAATGGGTCTCTTTCTCAGAATCTCATGGAGAGTTTGGATTCATTGCTCTGTGCAGAAGGTTCTGAAAGTCTGAAGAGCTTATGTCTGAAACTTCTCCTCTGCTTAGTGACAGTAAGTGACCCATCTACATGTTTCTTTGTCAAGGGTGTGAATCAACAACAGGGGCAAATTTGAAATCTTGAGGCCGAAGTTTGAAAGGAAAAGAGAAAAATCTTTACTGGGCCTTTACATCACTCTGCTGTGTTTGTGTAGAAGGAAGTTTGTTGTATGGACTTCTGCTTCCTAAAAGTTGCTCGTTGGAGAAACTGATGACGTTTTTAACCTGTACCAGTCCTGGAGAAGTGCTCTCTTCTGTATTGTCAGATTTTGACCTTCTCATCAGGTCTCATTTGGAAATACTTTTTGTGATTCTGAATATTTTTATTTGTTCTGACCTTGATTTTATACCTGGAAGCTGGATTGTACCTTCTAGGATGTTATTCTTTAATTTTAGGTGGTTTCCTTTCCCTGCAATCTCTTGAAGACTTGTGGATCATAAAGTACTTCCTGTGCATTTGGGGAATGAAACCCAAGAAACTTAGGCAAATGCTTTGTGAGGGTATAAGAGAAACAATGGGAAGGTCAAAAATTTAGGAAGTTTTAATTTGCTCATCTGTTACCCTTCTAGTATCTTATCTCTTCAGGCTCTGGTGGCTTTGGGGATGCTTATGAAAGATCTACTAAGTATTTGGTAGAATGTTTTAACATTTCTGTTTGTGTTAGACACGAGGTGAGGAGATATACCTGAGATATCAGTGTCTTAGTATAGATTTTAAATAGCCTTCTATTGTATTCAGGTGACAGATAACATCAGCCAGAACACTATCTTGGAATATGTAATGATCAACAGCATATTTGAAGCAATTTTACAGGTAGGTCAGTTCCCTTGTTACCTTTTTCTATTTTGGATAAATTGCCTCCGCAAGCACTCTCACTGTTGGTGGTCCTGGTTACAGATACTCTCCCACCCGCCGAGTCGTAGGGAACATGGGTATGATGCTGTTGTCCTCTTGGCTTTGCTAGTGAACTACAGAAAATATGAGGTAAGTGAGTCTCTTAATGGACAGCTGCTGTTTTTCTATAATCTTCCTAGATGTGACCACTCCTAGTAATTTTGTTTAATGTAGAAGACATTTTCTTGGTAAATGGTATTTAGATTAATTTTGATAAATTAAATTCTAAAAGTCCTATGTTAGACTCCTAGGGTGGAGGTTATAGCTGTTTAAAGGAATCCTGTGGTGTAACTTCTAATAAAGTGAGTAAATCTTTTTTAATGTAGTGGTTCCCAAACCCAGCCTCTCATTAGAATCGCCAGGAATTTTTTTTAAAAAGAAGATGTTTCTGGGTCATACTCTTTGTTTATTTGTTTAGCCATACTATATGGCATGCAGGATCTTAGTTCCCCAACCAAGGATCAAACCCATGCCCCCACCCAGTGGAAGTGCAGAGTCTTAACCACTGGTCCACCAGGGGAGTCCCGGGGCCTTACTCTTTGCACACCAAATCAGAATCTCTTAGGGGATGGTACCTGGTTATCTTTTTCGAAAGATCTCCTATAGAGTGTGATGCTCAGGGGATTGCGAACCACTGACCTAATGCATCTGTTTTGAAAATTCAACTTATATATTAGTTTTCCATAATGTACTCAGTTGACTTGTATAAATATCACTGTTGGTCTGGGGACTTTTTTTGATTTTGATGGAAGTTGAAGACAGAGCGTTATCCATATTAATTCTGGAGTTCTTTTTTTTCCTTTTGAATTAGGGACAGATTTACAAGTTTTGAGATAAAGAGCTGAACTCAAAGATTTATACTTGGGTTGGTCATCTACTTGATTCTCCTCAAAAGGTAGAATACACTGAAAAGAAAGGGGACCACTTAGGGAAGGCCAGAACCTCATTGGGGGTTGCTTTGTAGGGAGTACTTGGTACTGGGTCCTGGACACTAGGACTGCTTTACTGAAGCCAGAAATCAGAAGCTACACTGAGGCAACTTGACTTTCTTTATTTAATACTATGACATTCTCATTCCCTGGTGGCCGAGAAGGTAAAGCGTCTGCCTTCAATGTGGGAGACCTGGGTTGGATCCCTGGGTGGGGAAGATCCCCTGGAGAAGGAAATGGCAACCCACTCCAGTATTCTTGCCTGGAAAACCCCATGGATGGAGAAGCCTGGTGGGCTACAGTCCATGGAGTCACAAAGAATCGGACATGACTGAGCAACTTCACTTTTACTTTCTTTCAATACTATGACAGATGGGCCAATTGGAGGGAGTATTTTCATTTTTGAGCTTTTAGATCTTCACTTAGTGATTTTTTATATGATTAGTAGCCATGTTAAAAGTGATGGGTAACATAAAATATGGAGCTTATTCTTACAAAGAGGGATATGAAAGAAAGGATTCTGTGAGAAAGGAGTACTTAGAGAGGGGCTGGAATATGGAGCAGTGTTAATGTGTTATAAACCCCAGGAACTGATTGTTTTCTTTGTCTCAGAGGAACTGATGAATGGTGTACGGAGCTACTAATAAATAAGTAATTTATCACCAACACCTGTTTTGCTCGTGATCTGGAAGGGCCAGCATGGTAGCCATTTTGATCTCTGTCATGTGTAATTGCCTCTGGGGCCTTATTACAACAGCAAGAAAAATAGCTGAGAAAAAATGCGGAAGGTAGTTAAAGAGAGTTGAGTTATGTGTGATATTAAAGCCCCATCATCAGTAATGAGTATTTTCAGAACATTCTGCTGGATGCAGGCCACTCTGAGACAGTGGCTTGGCTTCTCTGAATGTGAACAGAACCCTGGTTCAGCCCAGTAAGACTTTCTGAAATGTCAGCCTGAAAAATTGGACATGGCTGTGGAGCTGGAGAAAATCATATTTCTAGAGTGAGGTATGCATCTCTGGTCTGTCAGAAACCCCAGAAGAATTAATATAGTAGGCGAGGGCAAGCTGGTAGGCATAATTTATCTGGGCTTTGCAGCTTTTGATATAAGTCACTCACCAGAAACCATTAAGGAAACCTGGTGACCATGGAGCAGGAACGTTTTTGACAGGAGTGTGAGGAAATTCTAGATGAACACAGCAAAACCGAAAGCTGAAGTTTTATGCAAAATACAAGAGGGTATGCTTGGGAGAACAACATTTTAGTTACCACCACATTTGGTCCCATGACCAATGGGGTAAGTTGTAACCTTTCCAGAAAGGTGCAGAGGGTGCCAGAGAGGCTCCGTGTCCAGCTAAACACAGAGAAGGCAAATTAGGTCTTAAACTTAAGGAATGAAAGTAGTTCTTCCTCACTTCATTTTAGTCATTTAATCTCAAGAGATTACAAGATGCCGGGGGCGGGGGGGCGGGGGAAGATCTAGGGAAGCGCAATGAAATTTGTTAAGTATGGTTTAGATCAAATAAATGCTGGACTCTACTAGAGTGATTCTGTGAAGTTTGTAATTCTCATTTGCTGATGAAAAGTAGATTGTCTTGAGTTTTAAAACATGACCAGCAGAATAGGTAGTGTTAAGGAAAATCAGTGTCTGCTGGGATAGAAATTTTCACAGCTTTAAGATCTTGGCCTTCTGGGTTGGCTAAGTCTTCTGAAATGAAGTGACTCAGCCCCCAACTGCTGTCCTGAACATGATGTTTCCTAGGTATTACAAAATTGTTTATTATGTCTGGTTTTGAGTTGTTCTTTCTCTTTTTTCCTTATAGAGCTTGTTTTGAATGTTATAAAAATGTCAGGAGAAAAAAATATAACTACCAATAATTGAGCCCTTATTATATGCCAGATACTGTGCTGAGGATTTAACTTGATTTAAATTTCATAGCAGCCCAAAGGAAAGAAATATTATTCCCCACTTTACAGATGAAGAAAATTGAGCTTAGGTTTATTAACGTGCCTACCTTGTCACAATTAATAAGTGGAGGAGCTGGAACTTAAACCTTTGATTTTAGCCACTTTACCCCTTTTCCTCAACAGTTGCTAATGCAGTGGTTGTTCTTGGTAATCAGGTGGTCCTTATTAGTACCTGAGACAGTCTACTTTTGGGAAGGTGAGTAAGTAGGAGTTTCAAAAATTGTGCTAAGAGACAGTGGCCTGCTTCTTCTACTGTAGATCTCATCGTGATGGCCTCTCCAGGTCAGCCCACTGCTGATTTTCATTTCCAAGGATCAGCTTGCTTTGGATCTTATCTGAAGTCTGTTGCATCAGTATTGTTGTTAGAGGAAGAAGCGTTGAGAGCCTTTATCTGTTAGATCAAGTAATGAATGGAGTGGGTTTTACCTCCTTGAATTGGGTTGTAGAAAACCTTATAAACATTTGGCTGTTAAAAATAGCAAAGCTTCTCTTTCTCTATTCCCAACTGACATTAGAAAGATGACCTCAGGAACTTGATTAATAAAGTCTGAGGAGATGGGGGTTAGCCTTTTAGTTGGATTTCCAAGTTTCTCAATGATGTGTTTTCTTGGTTGCTGTAAAAGCTGTTAATCTAAAAACTATTGTTCTGACTTCTCTTGGGTTAGAATTCATGCCTGAGCTGTAGAGGGTCTTTCCTTACATACCACGTGGGGGATGTTTTCAAGGTGAGCAGGTTGTTGGTTCTCATCCCATCGGTAGGAGATGTCCCAGTTGCTTAATGAGTTTAAATATATGTCCATTTCCATATGCTACCCAGCTGAGACTGAATCTGGAAAAACTCAAGAAATCTTCCAGTGCTTTAAGTGATGGGACAATCATTAAATCCCAGTGTCCTGACCAGATTGTAGTTTGGGTAATTACATCTTTCTTTTCAGTTCCCCTGCAGTGTTATTTGGGTATTGGATCCATAAATGGCCTGTCTGGCTGTTAAGCAGCTGCCACTTTCCACCCCCAAGGTGGCTTTGTTTTACGGGTGGGTGAATCAGTCCTTGGATATAGTTTTTGGAATGGTTAGGGAGCCTTTGGAATGAGAGTGTAAGTTAGCAACTTACACATTTGTGCCTTACGTCAGGGGAGCTTTTATGTCCCCCAAATGACAGCTGTCCCTATGGACTCAGTAAATTATTTTCAGGATAGGACAAAGTGAGTGTTGTGGAGTGTTCACTTACTTCTAGAAAGAAGAGGGAAACATGAGAGAAGAGGCAAAGGCCTGAGCTGATTGAGCCTAGAGGAAAATGCAGGTAGAATAAAATTGTGTGTGTATGTGTGCATGTAAACGTACACATGCTTGTGGGGGATGTGTGTGTGTCTGTCTGTCTCTGTGTGCTTGGTGAATGCCCATGCACAGAGAGATTTACTGGAAATGGAGGAAGTCAACTGGCAAGATAGTTGGGCATAGGTATTAGGAATATCACTCTAGAGAGAGTGTCTTGGAAGGATTTTTGTTAACACTTTGTTAAATAACTAATGGGTTCTTAACTAGGTCACACTCACCTGCAGTCTCTTCTTTTGTTTAATAGTCTGTGAATCCTTATATTGTGAAGCTGTCTATTGTGGATGATGAAGCCACCCTCAATGTGAGTATCTGGATTCTTGTGTTTTAATTACTTGCCTTTGTTGGCCTTACTTTAACTGGATATTTAGAACAGAGAGTAGGAATCTATTGTGTTAATTTCATCTGGCTATAAAGAGGGAATAGGTATTTCTTTTTAGAGCATTGTGCTACTATCTATGGTTTTCTATTTTCTCATGGAAAGAAGGTTTGAGGGGATATTTGCTTGCTACTTATGATGAAATGGTCAGTTATACTTCATGTTCTAGTATGCTGAGTTTGATTATCCTACAGAGTCAAGAAGTGACATTTCTAAGAGTAAGATTTAGATGGTATGTCAAATCACTTTAAATATCTTACAGTTATACCTCAATAAAACTGAAATTTTTAAAAAAGGCTTAGATGACTAAATGTTGGGAGATTTCTTGTAGAACTAGTTAGATTATATTTACAGCCTGCCTTGGTGAAGCTGAACTGTGGAGGATGATGTAATATCTGGTACATATATCCTTGGAGGTTTGGAAAATAAAACTTGATCCCTCAATATAGGGAGGAAGAAGATGACCAGGTGTCTGGTTTTATTCTCTTTCTGTCTGCCCTCTTCGTTCTAATTTCTCGTATGAAGGAAAAAAAAAAAGCACACATGATTCATTCTTATGGCCTTAATTGATCTTTGTGATAATGCTTAGAAGGTTCTAGGGGGAAGGTTGATACGTTACTTTAATATTTATTGGATGCTTCTTTCTGTTACACTACTGTTTTCCTGTGGTCTGAAAGAGAGTGGCTTGTCTGTATGTACCTTCATTTAAGGTGGGACTCGTTGTCACTTTTATTGTGGGTTGTTTTTAGAGACATCTGAGAGCTTTTTGTTTAGATTCTAACTTAGTCTTCTCTTTTGAGGTGAAAATGACCCCAGTGAAATTGTTGGTAGTCTGGGCTGGTCTGTTTCAACTCTTGCTATTCTATTTTAATTATATCTAGAAACATTAAGTAATGTAATTAGATCAGAAAAATCTTTCCAGAGAAGTTCCTTTTCATCCATTGACAAGTCTCTCAGAATTTCTGTCCTTGTTGCCTACTTTCAGGTAAAACTTGCTGGGTTTGGACCGTCATTAGTGTTTTCCATGGTCTAGTCATAGCATCACCACCAGGCCCTTATTTCACCTGTGCTGTCTTTTCTCTCTCTAGGGAATGGGGCTTGTGATTGCTCAAGCTTTATCTGAGTACAACAGGTAAGTCCATCTGAATTCAGTTTCATTTGAACTGGTTGAGTCAGGTACAGGTTTGTTAAAAGAGTTCTTGGGTGAACATCCCTTACCTATCCTAGAAGAGTATTCAGAGGTATAGCTGCTGGCAGATGCATTTGCTCTAGCTTGACTTGATGGCTTTAGCATGGGTTGCTTCTAACACTAGGAGAAAAGTAGCCACCACATTAGTGTCCATCTTTTGTTTAAGCAACTCTTAACATTAAACATTCTTTTGCAACCTTTGACATTTTATTGCAGAGCATTTTAACAAATTTTCCAGCCACAGGCAGGCTATTCCATTTAGCTCATTGTATCATTTAAATACCATTTCTATGTAAAAAAAGGTTGTGAAGTGCTGCTTTTTTTTTGTATGCTTATAAAAAGGAAGAAAAGAGATAGCGCTGAATTCTCATTTGACAGATATTTCTTTTTTATCAGTAATCAACTGCAGTTTCGACAGAGTCCTGTCTATCTGGGGGCTCTTTTCTTCGATGCTTGCTTTCCCCCTACCCTTGCTGCGGATAGGGAGGATTTGGTGTTCATTGAATGGAAACCAGAATTGTATCTAATCCTGGCAAGGGCCAGGCAGGATCTTTCTTACTCCTTTCCAGACTTTCCTCATGTACAATTGGGAATTTCAAATCTGTCCCATCTCCACAAATAGTTGAGCTCACAGATTCCCCTCCTTTTCCTTCAAAAACAAACAAGATTTTCACTGTTACAGCCTTAATTTTACTGTCACACTTTTCAAGTAATAGTCTGTTTGGGAAATAACTGGATCAGCCATATGTTAGAGCATTTCACACTTTTGCAGCTTGCTTTCTAAGTCTCTCCTGAAGTAGCTGGGCATTTTGGTATACGCTACCTCAAGAGCAGATGGGTGCCTCTTAGCTTGCAAGGCAAACTGCAGAGGCTCAGTAGTTAGAACGTTTTTGTTTTCTGGAGTCAGTGAAATTCTGCCAGTGAGCTGCCCTGATTACCTAGTATGCCAAGGACAAAGACATATGTGATAAATAACACTAAAGTTGAATTTAGTTATTTTTGTTCAGGCAGTATAAAGACAAGGAAGAAGAACACCAGAGCGGTTTTTTCTCTGCTTTAACAAATATGGTAAGTCCTACTTGTCTTTTTTTTTTCTCTCCCCTGTTCAAAAATATATGAGATCTTATGGGGTAGACAAGTCTGGACTCAGAAGTTTAGATATTTGAGATAATGATGATTAGGGGAGAGAGGCTGCTCATAGCAGATTTTTTGGAGAGCTATATCTCTTCTAGTGATTTCCAAACCCAAGTGAGGCAGGGCAAAGAAGAGCTCTGATTTCTCTGGGGCTGGGTTGTTTTTTTTTTTTTCCAAATTAATTCAATTTTTTTAAGGCTACAAAAAAAAGAGAAAGGTTCATATTAAGCCAGACTTTTGCTTCTTGAAGAACTGGCTCTGAAAAAAAAAGAACCAGAAAAAAAAAAGACAGTTGGCTCTGTTTGAGGACAGGTATGGAACACAGCATAGAGGGTTTAGATCTGAATCCAAGCATAAGTGGTCCTTGGCTGTCTGCTGTGACCCCTTCATCATTTGTGGGATTGGTGCAGTAATCCGAACCACTCATCTTAAAGGTTTAGGATTTGGGCTGAGGGCTCCAAGGTTTGGGAAAATTACTGGTTCAGTTTGCAAGACTCTTGAGCAAGGTATCTCAACCTTAGCATGGTAGGTATTTTAGGCCAGATAATCTGGGGCTAATTTTTAAGAGGTAAATCTAAGGTCTCAGAATTTAGACAGATTCAGAAAGTCTGTGTTCTTGGGTATTAGTATTCAAGTAATCAGCCCTAGGGCAAGACAGATTTTGAGTTCATTGTAAGGAACAACAGGCCCCGCCCCACCCCCACCACCCAAAAGGCAACTTTTCTCCAGCAACCTGCCTTTTTCATTCTCAGAACCTACTTTCAAGGAAAGGAAATGATAAGCTCTTTAATTCTGAAGCACAAATGGGTAGTCCCTCAGATGTCAAAACAATGTGAGGGCTGTATCAGTATTTGATTAGATGCATTAGATATAATCATATTGCTTCCAGGGACCTTTGCCTTTTAGCCAAGAAGAAAAAGTTTTGTACCAAATAAATGGAGCTCCGGCTGCATGGATTTGGGCATCAATAAATAGGTGGAAAAGGCAATTTTAGAAGGATGGGCATCTGTCTCTGCCTCTGATATCTCATATATTGGAGGCAACCTATTCCATTTGCTTATTCAACTGTCCTGCCTAGGACACAAACAAAAGATTTCATGATGTGAAAGATGTATAGTAGGTTTCATTTAGATTAGGCGTCCCCAGCTTCTGGGATCTAGTACCTAATGATCTGAGGTGGAGCTGATACATTAATAATAGAAATGTGCACAATAAATGTAATGCACTTGAATCATCCTGAAATCATCCCCCTATCCCCTGGTCTATGGAAAAATTGTCTTCCACGAAACTAGGCCCTGATGCTAAAAAGGTTGCTGACCGTTGATTTAATAGTTCTGGCCTGAAACCCAAATATTCCCCCAAAGACGACTCTGTGCTGGATGAACAGCCTGCTTTCTGTAATGCTTTTTATGAGTTAGTTTGTTTCAGATAAGCAGCTTCCAGGACAGAGGCAAAGTGATGAGGATGTTTAAGTTATCATTTACTTGTTATCAGTGGTTACTGAACTAACACATAGGAGACCTGGACAAAAGTACTGGGATGGTTTTTTTTAAGTCCCTTTAAGCAAAGACAGTTTAGGGGAGTTTCATGACTTATGATTTTTTTAAGATCTTCAAAGTGAGCTGGTTTTGTTGTGTGTGACTGGTGGGCCAGGGTTCCCTCATGCTGCAGTTTGTTTTTTTCACTGATTAAAGGCTTTGTAGGGCCCAGAGCTCCTTTCACATTTCCCTGCTATAACTCTGCAATTCCCCCTTTCTTCCACAGGTGGGCAGCATGTTCATAGCAGATGCCCATGAGAAAATCTCAGTACAGTAAGTGCCTGACATTCTTGTGCGGTGACTTGAACTTCAGTGTGGACTCTCTTACTGGATATGAAAGTGTGAAACTTTATCTCTGCAGATTCAGACTTTTTTGATGATCTGTCAAATGTTTCTTGAGTTTTAAATAATAATGGAACTTGCATGTATTGAGCTCTAAGAAGTTATAAAACTGTTCCCAGCTATCTCTGAAAGGAAATAAAGAGGGCTTGGTGTCTGAGCCAGTTAATAACTTAACTGCATTGGGGTGAAAAAGTGAAAGGGGGAAATTGTGAAGTAGGTAAGAACAGATCTAAGGAATTAAAGTGCTGACTGTATTTCCTTTATATAAGCCCAAAAAGGAAATAATGGAGCATTAGAAACTCAAAGGGATTTGTAATGAGGAGTTGGGGTGAAATCTTATCTTGATGATTATACTCTCTTACCTTCTACCTTCTTCATTATAAGAGACTCCAATTTGCTCTCTTTTTCTTTAGAACCAATGAGGCCATCCTTCTGGCACTTTACGAAGCTGTTCATTTAAATCGCAACTTTATCACAGTGTTAGCCCAGGTTGGTTATATTAAAAACTTCAGTTCTTTTTCTCCCTGATTTTCATACAGATTCACTCCATTGAAAAGCTTATCTGGCTGTGCTCATGTAAACCCTACTTTGCATTGGTGAGCTGTAGTTAGTATCTAAAGAGTTGCATCAGTTACCTTGCTTCATGCTCTCCTCAAATATGTATGTTTCCATCTGGTGCTGAAATGGAACTGGTAACATGCCAAGTTAATGGTCTTGACCAGTTGACTGATTCTGCTAACCCAAATGAGTTGAGATTATTTCATTTTGCTCACTGGAAATCCCTTAGTATTATCTGCCCATACGGATTTTTTTAACAGGCTTTCTGCTTCCTAAACCTCTGTGGAATTACAACCAGAGAGACAATAGGCCACGTCACTTATGTTGTTATCTCATCCATTTCCAGAGAAGAAAAGTACAAAATATCCCATGTAACATAAGGTTAGCTGTTAACCAAAAAAAAAAAAAACAACAAAAAACGGTCAACAAATATTGAAAGCAGGAAGTCATAGAATCCTGAGTACTGGGTCACTTGCCTAAGGGATGTCCTAAGTTGTTGGTACAGAAGGAGCTAAAATAGGCTGGGAACTCAAGTGCTGCCCCTGAAAGCTGTCTTTAAAAATTGATGAAGTGTTTTTAAAGTCAGACTGTTTAAATTATGTATGAAGTTTTCTTTTAAGGGAAAGTGTGCTTATGCTTTTTTCTCAAAAGGTAGTTATGTATGGGAGCCACTAAGTTTCAACAACAACAAAAATAAGGTCAGAAAGCAGTGTGCTGGTTTGGGGGTCTGGTTTGTTGGTTTAGCAGTTCTCATTTTTCACGACTGATCACATGAGGCTTTATCCATGATTCTCATGATGTTCCTTGTTAGCTCTCCAGATTCTGTAATTGATTTTAAAGGAAAAAGTGAGGAGGGTAAAATCTGGTAAAACTATTGGTGAGAAGGGAGTAGCCACCACTCAGCCTGATTCTCAAGAGCTGATGTGGCAAGGAGGGCTAAGGAAGGTAAGGGAAAGAGGAGTCATCTCTTTTGGTCACTATTGAATGTCTCCGCCCATGTTTCTACCTTCCCACCCCGCACACTCTTTTTTGTGGTGGAACAAGGAGGGCTGCCCTCTGCAAAGCCCTTCTTGTAGTATCTGTTATCCCTTTGGCTCACCTTCACTTATTAGTTGACTTATGTGGTCATCAGAATAGTCTGTAGATATGTTTTGAGTTGATCAGATAATAGGACTGAAAATGCCCTTTTTTGTATGTGGAATATTTCTGTGTATTTGTTTATCCCAGTTTTTTATTCATATGGTTCTGTAGGTAAACTTACATAATGGGAACTTAGTTACTTAAAGAAAACTAGCCTGCAGAGTTTATTAGAGTTTAGCAAGCATCAACAGTAATCAGGTACTAATAGGAATGAAATGGAGAAGCAGTCTCTCCTCAGTGAGTTTCTGTCTGTTTATGAGGCCAGGAATACCAGAAAGGTTATGGAGAGGACACCTGCAATCTTCTCTTTTCTTATCCTTATCTGTGTTCTCTTTCAGAGTCATCCAGAAATGGGCTTGGTGACAACCCCTGTCAGTCCTGCTCCAACAACCCCAGCCACACCACTTGGGACCACGCCACCCTCCTCTGATGGTAAGTCTATCACCTCCTTTGTTTTCTTGATTAATACAATCTTGAATCTTTAGGGGTGACTGTAGTTGTTTTTTCTTTTTTTTTCTGACAAAAAGCATAACTGTTAGTTCTTTTGCTTAAGAAATTATCTTTAGGATTCGTGAAACTCTAAAGAAAAGATAGTCAATGCTTTCCTCTATAAGAATCTACGAAACTCCAACTTGTCCTCCTTAGGGAATGGTTGTAGAATCATGGAAATGCTAGATTTAAAAGGGACCTCAGAGATCAGTGATGCCTGTCTTAACTCAGGGTACTTGGTGAGGCTCAGATGAGATATTTTATGAATATCTCACTGAAATAAATGCAAAATGGTAAAATCATCTCATGTTATCATTTGACAAATGAGGGAATTGAGGCCAGGGAAGTATGAGGTTTGCCTAAGATTAGTGAGAGTTGACACTAAGAACCTTGCATGGATCAGTGTTGGGACCATGCCTGTTTTGTGCACCACTAAATGCCCAACATAGTGCCTGGCATGGTTACTGCTTAGTAAATATTTGTTGACTAAATGAATGTAAAAATGAACTTGGAATTTGCTCACTGTTATGTGTCTGCCAGGCACACCCAGTTAGAAAATGACAAGTGTGTAATAATTGGGAATTTGCTAGGTATTTAAGATTTCTCTCCTTTAAAAGATAACAACAACAAAATTCTACTTTATAAATCTTATCGCTGGAAGTTATGAAAAGGGTAATAGAAAAGAAATTAAGAATTTTGCCCAATGAACTTTGTGTCCACCTGAATTGGTTCTAATGTCAGCTGAGTGTGCTTGAGGGAATAACTTAACCTAAAAATAGTCTTCATTAATACTTGATGTTTTGCCTCAAATATTGAACTCATTTTGGGTAAAAAAATTGTGTCCCTCTACTGTCTGTATTTGACATGACCATCTTTGCTCTGCTGTTTCTCCTTTAAACTTTGATATAACGCCTATGGCATTAGCATTTCAAGGTAGTGCAAGCAGTATTAGTACAAAAGTATTACTGGGAGGTGCCACTGATATTCAGGTTTGTGGTAGTAAATTGGATCTGTTGTCAATTGATACTCAAATTCCAAAATACAGATTTCCCCTGTTCTGTGAAAGCAGAGCTTTCCTACACAACCTTTTGTAAGCTGAAATTGCATTGTGTAAAGCAAAGAAGCAAATATCTTAGGTTGCAACTTGCTAATGGCTGCACAGAGTAAATTTAGATAAAGCACAGATGCTCACAAACGCAGTTCAGAACTGGGTGGCTTGAAACTGTGTGGCTTGATTCTTACATACTGCGTGTAGTTTGTGGGGAAAGAATTGAGTGGTATCACTCTCACTTCTGGGGATGCTGATGCCTCTCTTAAAACTTGCTGCAAAACAAACGCTGAACACTGTTTTCATTTTTTGCCTTTTCTCTTTCTTTCTTCTCACCCCATCACTCATTTTTCTTGTTACTTTCATTTCTAATTGTTGATAGGCGGTAGGATTTTTTTTCTACTTTTCTTTGCCTGAATTTGAGAAAATAAAGTTGAATGTGTATACTTAAAAAAATTTTTTTCAGCTTTATTGAGGTGAGTTGATATTCATATACATTGTAAGAAAACTCCCCCTATCTTTTTTTTTTTTTTTAATATGGAATGCTTCATGAATTTGCGTGTCATCCTTGCACAGGGGCCATGTTAATCTTCTCTGTATCGTTCCAATTTTAGTGTATGTGCTGCCGAAGCCCCTATCTATTAACACATCCGTTACCGCATGTATTTTTCTTTTTCTTTTCTGTAGGGATGAGAACATTTAAGTTCCACTCTCTTAGCAAATTCAGCTATACAACATAGTATTATCAACATGGTCACCATTTTAGTATTTTACATTAGATCTTCAGTTTTGCTAATCTGAAAGTTTGTGGCCTTTTACCAACCTCTCCCTATTTCATCCATCCCCTAACCCCTGACAGCCACTTTTCTACTCTCTTTCTATGAGCTTGACTTGTTTTTTTTAAGATTCCACATGTAAATGATGCCATATAGTGTTTGTAGTATCTTGGCTACTGTGAATAATGCTGTAATGAACATGGGAGTGAAAATATCTCTTTTGATATCCTATTTTCATTTCCTTTGTGTATATACCTACAAGTGGGATTGCTGGATCGTATGGTAGTTCTGTTTTTAATTTTTTGAGGAACCTTTATACAGTTTTCCTTAGTGGTTACACTGATTTACAGTCCCATTAGCAGTACATAGGAGTTCCCTTTTCTCCACATCTTTACTAATACTTGTTATCACTTGTCTCTTTTTTTGGCCACATGGCTTGTGAGATCTTAGTTCCCAATCAAGGATTGAACCTGGGCCCTCTGCTATGAGAGCCCAGAGTCCTAACCACTGGACCTTCAGGGAATTCCCTGACTTGACTTTTTAAAAAATTTTAATTAATTAAAAAATTGTGGTATAGTTGATTTACAATATTATATAAGTTTCAGGTATACAGCATAGTGGTTCACAAATTTTATAGATTATACTCCATTTATATTGGAGAAGAAAATGGCAACCCACTCCAGTAATCTTGTCTACAGAATCCCATGGGCAGAGGAGCCTAGATAGGCAACAGTCCATGGGGTCACGAAGAGTCAGACACGATTGAGTAACTAAACAACAAATAGTTACTATAAAACATAGGCTGTATTCTCTGTGATATGTGATATATCCTTGTAGCTTATATAGTATATATACTGGTATGTACCTGTTAATTCCCTACACCTATTCTGCCCCTCCCCATTTTGCCTTTTTTTCTTTTTTTTTAAAAACATTTGTTTATTTTGGCTGCACCAGGTCTTTGTTGCAGCATGTGAACTCTTATTTGGTGATCAATGGGTCCCCTGCATTGAGAGCACAGTCTTACCCCCGGACCACCAGGGAAATCCCTGTCTTTTTTCTGAAAAGTGAAAACCGTCTTTAGACTTTGCGTTAGTGAAAACAAGTACTAAGGTAGTTTTTTTTGTGGAGCGAAGTGACTTTTGTAAAATGAGCTTTTGAAAAGCAGGGCACAACTGTATCTTAATGAGAAGGAACATGTAATAGGATTGCCTGCTTGTTCTCTGCTTACTCTGGTCACCAAATAATATTCCAACAGAAATACTGTTTTTTTTCTTTAACGATGAATCCTTCCTGGTTACCATAGATATCAAAAGGCTTGTGTGTGTGTGCACGCATGTGTGCATGTTTGGGTTCGCATAGCATATATATCTTTGTCTATATCTATATATCTGATTTCACGTGACATTGGGGTTTGGATGCTTCAGAGAACTGCCTTTCAAACTATTCATTGTGAACACTTCCACCCACACACTTGATTATGCAACTTGATTTGTGCTTGCTTACTTACAACCCGTGAGGTTTTACTTTTTCTAGTGGGAAGATTGGAGTCAGCCCACTTTCAAATGACTATCTCCCTTGACAAAGGCTGCTGGGAAGAGTTACGAAGGAATAACTCTTAGGAAGCAGATTTTATTTTTTTTAACTTTTTTTTTTTTTTTAATTTAAATTATTTATTTATTTCACTTTACAACATTGTATTGGTTTTGCCATACAGGAAGCAGATTTTAATTTGTGAGGGATTTTATTCTGTTGATATTGCTTCTATTTTTTTTTTTCTTTTTCTTCTCTTCTAACTCATTTCCTTTTTGTAGGGGTCCTAAGTCTTATAAGCCTATCCTCAAGTTTTGGTTTTTTAATTAGTTTTTAACATAACTGGTGCTCAGTGGCCTAGTTATATTTAAAGGTATGTCCCTGTTGCCATTATTTTTAAAAAGTCAGCAGTTAAGCTAAAACATTTGTTCTCAGTTCAGACTTGACATTTGACAGCTCAGCCTTGGCATGGGAGGATTTTCTTGTAAACTAAAAATACATATACTTCTATATTCCTGCATATTATGTAAGGCAGTTTTCTAGTTATCTCTGTGTTTGAGTGGGGGGAAAAAAGTCCCACTTACCAGACCAATGCCTCTTTGTATTGGACAAAGGAAGGATTATGGACTCTGAGCTTCAGAATAGGCTGTAGTTTGAAATGACTGTCTCAAGTCATTAATCCATAACATGAATTTTAAGATATATTAGTATTTCAACATAAAAATATGTTTGTCTTTTATTAGTTCTTGGGGGCTGAACTGTGGGAAAACAGCCAAGGGTTGGGAATACTAATTTCTTCTCATAAGGCTTTTTGCTGTGCTTGCTCTGTATCACGGATCCATAATATGCAAATGTTTCCCATTGTTAATAAATGTTCTCAGCATACATCGTAATAACTTCAGAGGGATTCATTATGGTTACGAATACATATTATGAATAATATCCCAAACTCAGCTGAGTCTTCATAGGTGAAGATATGACAGAAAACTATAGATCCTGTAGTTTTTCTAGGCAATCATGAGTTTCCTTTTTTTGTATATTATGTCTTAGACAGTGTAAAAGTACTTAACAAGATGTCTAAATCTCATTTAAAGTATTAGAAACTTGGGGATCTGTATTAAGGCTATCCTGTGTGGGTCAGCCCTAGTCTGGTCCCTTGTTCATTGTTACTGTGGCGCAGAGAATGTGAGCAGGGGTAGTTTCTCCAGCAAGCAATTATGTATATAAAACTGTTCTCAGTCAGTAATGTCCACCTGTTTTCAGTGTGGTATTCCTTCAGGTTCCCTTTTGTGGGGAAGGGATTAAGAAGTAGAATTTGAATGTATTTCTGTCTTCACTTTTCCCCCTTCTATCTTGCGTATTTCCAGCCTAAAGGCTTATTCTCAAAATTGAGCAAGATTTTTCCATATTAGGAATGAATTGTCATTTATTTTAAGCAGTAGACTCATGAAAGCAAGGCTCATTTATATTCAATACAGCTCTTTCACTTAGGTACAAATTAAAGTGCTTTTTAGAAGGGCCTTGAACCCTTTTGATTTGCTTGGAACTAGACAGTGGAATCAAAATACCCTTCTTAGAACTTTGGGAGAAAAGCACTCTTCCTTTAGACAGGCATTCTTAGATAGGAGAGAAGGACTTTGGGCTTAATCTTGGGGGTGGGAAGAGCTCTAGAGGCCTAGGAAGACTAGATAACAGTGTTATGATAAGCACTCAGTCTTTCCTCTGTTTTGGAGGAAGATTCTTTTGTGATTTCCTTGCCTGCTGGCAAGTTGTCTGTATAGGTAGAAGTGTTAAATGGAATATGTTACAGGCTGAATGCATTTTATCTGTTCTATTCCAGTTATAAGTTCTGTGGAACTCCCACTGGATGCAGATGTACAGACCAGTAATCTACTGATAACCTTCTTAAAGTATAGCTCAATTGTCATGCAAGACACCAAAGGTAAGGCATTCTCCTTTGAGAGCTCAGGAAGCAGGAGGTGGTAGGTAGCTGCTTAGCTTGATCAAGGAGCAGCATTAATACTTGTAGGAGATGACCCGTTGGGACCTCCTTGCAAAGTGATGGTCTTGATTACTGGAAAATTTCTCACTGCCAGATGGCAATTAGATGGTGTTGGGAATACCTGGAGCTGGAGCAGGAGTGCTCCAAAATAGAACAGAGAAAATAAATTGATCTCTACAAAGACTGGCACGTCTTCTAAATAGATTTTGGTAAGTAGATGCAAACTCTTATGTGCGGGAAGTGAGGGGATTAGCATGTTTCAGGGAATTCCCTTTTGAGGACAAGAATTGAAAAATCAGCTCATAGTGGGAATTAGGACTGTTGTGCAGAGTACAGTAGGAAGAGGTGAGATTCAGAGGGACTGTGTTCTTTAACACTTAAAATAGAAGTGTTAGTCCTCATCCGTGAAATGCAGAACGAAAGTGGGAGAGAAATAGGTATTAGAAAAGCTTGATGTTATTTTGTTCTTCCTCTGTTGATGATTTTTCTGTGATTTTTTTTTTTTTTTCCTGTGATCTTTTTTAACTGGTGGTAGGGTAGTGGAATAGTTGGGCTAGAAGAAGAAATTGGGAAGAAACCCAGAAAATTCTGTTCAGTATATATCTCAAGGTTTTTTTTTTAAAGCCTAGCTTTTTCTTTAAACTGGATCTATATGAGTGTTTACAATTTTATTTATTTATTTCTAGTATATATATCTATTGTAAAATACACATAATGTAAAATTTACCATTTTAACTATTTTTAAGTGGCACTAAGTATAATCGTGCTGTTATACATGCATCAGTGTTTCCTGAGGCCGTTGCTTCTCCTTTTTGGAAATCGGTAACCTCTCCCTTTTTCTGGAAATACTGCAGCAACCACAGAAAGCAAAAAACTGCATAGATGTGACCCTGAAAATAAATTTCTAGCTTTGCTTGATATAACACAGTGAATTGAGGCCCTTGAAACTCACTTTTAGCTTTAATGGTTATATAATCCTCATTGTACTGATCACTGTGCCATCCATAAAATAAATAGAAGGCAAAATTGAGGGTAGATTAATTGCAGCATGAGTGGTCTCAGTCTGTTTCTGTAAATTCTGGCTGGGTTAGATCTTTGCTAAAAGGAAGCCTTAATATAGTAGGATACAGCAGCCTAAATATGGTTAAGTATGATGAAGAGTTAATTTCAAAACGATACTTGTGTGGCTTCATTGGCCCAGCTCCCTTCCTGTTGATTAAGACCCTGACCTGGCTAACAGGATCTCATTATTTTAGTGGCGATAGAAGCAACTTTTTCTTGGCTCTGCTCCTCCTTCCCCTCCCCTCAGTACTATTTTGTCTTCTTTATTATATATCATGTGCTGCCTATAAGAATACTTTAAATATTTATTACTATTAGATTATATAGTTTATAATAAGCATAATAAAATGGCATAGGTTAAAAAGTATAATAATAAAATGAATGCATGTGAACTTATCAGTCAACTTAAGAAATTACTAATGATGTCGAAGCTACCTATGTGTCCCTTCCCCAGCTATTTCTCTCCTCTCCGTGATTCAGAATTTTGTGTTTATTATCGCCTTAATTTCGGCTGTGCTTTCAAAGTTTTTTTTTCCTGAGATTATTATTCTGCCTTGGGTATTGTCACCCTGAGGGAATATCTGCTCAATCTTTAAGATAGGCAAGAGATAAAAATACTAGAAATATATATCTGTGCATACAGAGCCTAAAGTTGATTGACCAATGTTTTTGATTTTTGGTATGATTAAACTTATTTTTTATTGTTCTTGTTTTTTTGTGCTTTTATGAAGTTTAAAAGTGAATAATAATGGAATATGCCTTATTTTTGTAATCAGGAACAGTTTTTTTAAAGTGGAGAGAGAGCTGCAGGCTTTGCAAGAGTTACTTATCAGCTTTTTGGGGAAAGGGAAGGATAGTGCCAGAGAACTCTGTGACCAGGAGTAGGTAGAAGAGTCTTATAAATTTGAGGAAAGGGAAGGATAGTACCAGAGAAGCTCTGCGGCCAGGGGTAGGAAGAAGAGTCTCACAAATATGGTTTTGTGTTAGCAAGGCATTTCTTTTCTGGCTGCTTAGGGGCTCTGCCGTAGGCTACTGGGATGTCAGATAGGATCGTCGTCATTACTCTTTTGCACCGCCTATCGCTAGGGAGAGGTAAATGTATTTCGTATTTCTTTGACCACGACCCTCCTTATGCCTTCTAACTGTCAGGTTTTGGTTTATAGATTTCATCTTTGAGGAAGTAACAGGTTAATGTCAGGATGAGTACTATTAGCTAACTTGCACAGCATGGTAATCTGTTAATAGTATCTCTCCAGAATGGACTTTACTCTGGGTCCTATCAAAGCTAATTTGAAACAACATAAGCCATTTTTCTGTTTTGGATATGCTGGTATAACCCTCTTTTTACCTCCACTTCGCCACCTCACCCACAAACACCCTGGAAAGCAAAAAAGTTTTAATGGTTCTGGTAATTGGCAGTGATGGGTTAGCTCTTTCTGGGTCCTTTGTGGGGGCTTAGAGCCCTGTTGTTGAGGTTGCTTTCTTTTTTAATAACTAGAATGTGAGTTCTGGGAGGCCACAGACCTTTCTTTAGTCCAGTACTATATCTCTACTGCCCGGCATAGTGCCTGCCACATGCGTGTATGCTCAGTCATGTCCGACTCTTTGTTACCCTCATGGACTGTAGTCCTCCAAGCTCCTCTGTCCATGAAATTTTCCAGGCAAGAATACTGGAGCGGGTTGCCATTTCCTCCTCCAGGGAATCTTCCTGAGCCAGGGATGGAACCCACGTCTCCTGCATTGACAGGAAGACTCTTTACCACTGAGCCACCAGGGAAGCCCTGCCTACCACATAGTCGGTAATAAATAAATATTTGTGGAGTGAGTAGCTTTGGCAGGAAGAAAAATGATCAAGAGTTCCCAACTTTCCTGGTTGTAAGTAATGTTCACATTGTAAGGAGAGCATGAGCTGGACCCTAGTTTCTGGTTAATTTCTTTCTGGTTCTGCTGCCAGTTTGCTATGAACAGTTATAAAAATTTTCTAGATTTTGTGGTAGATGAGTAAAGATGGTGGTGCTTTAACTAGTGGATGAGGTGGAGTTGGAAAAGGAATGGATCTGACTGTCCAGAAGCAAAAGGCTGATATGGAAACAAAGGGCATGGCCCTGATTTGGGCCACAGTATTAGGGACTGTTACAATAATTGAATGGTTCTCAGGAAGATGTTTAGCTGTCTGTCATACTGTTGGAACACTTAAGAAAAAAAATCTTATGGAGGAATTCTTTTGTCTAGAAGAAAAGAATTACTTTAGTAAAACCTTGATTTTTATTCATGAATTTTATGGGGAAAGAAAGTATAAATGTTCTTTTTGATGATACACATCTTTATTCTCTATAGAAACATGGTCTGGATGATTTAGAGAGAAGGATTTATTTTTTCTTTTCAGATGAGCACCGGCTTCACAGTGGCAAACTCTGTCTGATTATCCTTACATGTATTGCAGAGGTAGGTCTCACCAGCCTTCTGGTATTAGCTAATCTCTCACAAAATGCTCTCTTTTCTACCCTTCTCTCCAGTTCCTGTCTCTTGACTTTTAGGGACCTAAAGTTTAGGAGAGAAAATCTTCCCCCTTTATATTATCTCCTCCACTGGAATGTAAGCACCAGTAGGTCCTTTGTCTTCTTCGCCAGTGTTTTCTCAGTGTCTGGCACGTAGTAGAGGGTCAGTTAGTATTTATTGCATGACTTCATAATGAATTCATATGATAACTGCTATAATTGAGAACTGGAAGATTCTAGTTCTTAAGAGTTTGGAACTCTAAAGAGACTTACACCTCTTCAGAAAAAAAAACAGCCCTGCCCCTTTAAAACTATTTACATTGAATCTTTTGCATTTAGCAAAATGAAAAAAGGAGCTCTGGTTTCTGTGGGGAGAGGTGGAGAGAAAAGCTGAGGGATGGGCATTGGAAACAGTAAAGTTGGATTGATTGTAGTTTGATGAAGAACAAGAACCAGAGGGTAAATAAAGAAGAGATGCAAATTGGGCTTTGGAAAGAGTCGCTTTTGGCTGGATTAATTAGGCCTGAACTCACCTTAAATCTTGTTGGCAACAGAGGTCTGGCAGAAATTGAGTCAATTTAGAGCTGAATTTGTAGTTTCAATCTCCTCTTTCACTTACTCCTTATTCGGATCTTTTCTCTCCAAAGAAAAATAGTTAAGGTGTGGTCCGTGTGGAGCAGAGATCTCCCTCAGTCTTTCCATTTTTATGTTTGCTGTGGAAAGTTGACCTACTTTTCACCAGGTTAGGAGTAGCTGTAGAAGAGCTGCTTATTAGCAGTGGGCCTGGTGTAATTGCTTTTCAAAAATCTTTCTAAGAAAATCATTAAAGGAGTTGTTTTTCACAAATTGTAGCAATTCCTAGAAATTGGAGTTTGTAGGCATGTCAGATCTTCAGAAAAGGTGTTGGGAAAGAGCCAAGGGATGTTTATTACTGATTCATGGTGAGAGGTTTTTGATTTTCCATCAGTCTTCAGCACAGCCAGGGATATACAGGATCTTACCTATTGCCATGCTGCCTTAGTAAGCAGTTTTCTCTTGCTGTGCCAAGCCTGTTCCTGGCAGAGTGCAGACCTTTCTTCTTAATCGCAGATCTTCAAGTGTAGACTGCACATGTAACCTGCAGTCCCTGTGCTCCTCGGGCAGATGGGAAGGAAGAGAGAACAGGAAAACAGATTCCTCTCAGCATTTGTCTCAAGTGTCTGTGCCTTAATTTTTATTGTTTGTAATTTGCTTTGAGATTTTTGACCAGTTAGAGACCTACTGGGAAATTACACTTAAGTGAAACCTCATGGCTTAAGTAGGGCTTGACATAAAGGCTGTAGTCTTCTCCCGTTAGCTCTTTAACTGGTGCTTGAAAGGAGTTCTTTTAAGACCTGTAAATCCTTGGACTTTAATAAGGGTATAGATTATAGATAGATTATAAAAGGAGTTTATAGCTCTCATTCCCTCCTTATCTGTGTTTTTATTTTTATTAGGATCAATATGCCAATGCATTTTTGCATGATGACAACATGAATTTCCGAGTAAATTTACATAGAATGGTAGGTATGGCTTTTACTTCTTGTTTCTTCTTAGAGGAATTTTTTTATGTTGGCAGGATTGGAGATGATGACATTGATCTTACTAGAACAGATGTGGGTGGAAATTTACGCTAAAGGGCTCTTGCTTAACTGCTGTTCAGAAGACACATCCCTGTTGTTGGAATTTTGTGTGTGTGTCTTGGAGGTGTTACCTACTCAATAGAGGGTGGAAAGATCCACAGTCTCATACCCATGGCAGTAATATTGTTATAGAATGTATCAGGGTACTTCTCTGGTGGCCCAGTGGTGAAGATTCTGCACTTCCACTGCAGGGGGCATGGGTTTGATTCCTGGTCGGGGAACCAAGATCCCACATGCCACCCAGCATGGCCAAAAACAAACAAACAAAAAATAAGCAAACAAACAAAAAACCCCAAAAAGGTATATCTTGACATTGAATATATCAGTAATGTAGATTTCAACAAGGAGATGGGCCTAAGCCTTTTGTTTTCAGAATATGCTGTGATCTTTGATTGGGTGATGCTAGATTCTGCTTATTATTAGATTTATTCATCTGAGGGGTGGGGGAAATAGAATATGAAGGATCAAGGAGTTTCCTAAAACTTGGAGGTATGTTCAGAAATATCACCTTGAGGTTCAAAACTTCCTTTAAAAAACTTTTCCTTTTTTTTTCGAACTGCTACTGTTGGTGCCTCTACACAGCCACGTTCTCCCTTTTTCTTATTATTTTATCAAAGAAAAATACTAGTGTATCTCTTTTGTTGTCAGTAATGTCACTTGTATAGATAAAATCAAAGCAAAAACAATAGCTTTCCCCTTGTAGTATGCTTCAGTGCCCTGTGGGGCTGTGGTCTTGCTGTGAACTGTGTTTTTGTCCCAGGCCTGCATCGATAACTGAGAAGCACTTATATGTCCTCCCTGCCTCACCCAACACCCACCACTTGAAAGAGAAAGAAAAGGTAGCTTCTCTGTAGTAGTGGTTTTATTTTATTATTGTTGTTTCTTCTTTTGACCAGGCCATGCATTTTATGGGATCCTAGTTCTTTGACCAGGGATTGAACCTGGGCCCCCAGCATTGTAAGCACAAAATCCTAATCACTGGATCACCAGGGAATTCCCAGTAGTAGTGATGTTATTTGCGTGAAAAAAAAAATGATGGTGAACCACTGGATGTTAGTTCAGATGTCTTATAATCTCATTTCTTATTTGTGTGAAGCCTATGAGACACAGGAAGAAGGCAGCAGACAAGAACCTTCCCTGCCGTCCATTAGTATGTGCAGTACTGGGTGAGTATCATCAAAATGGGCATGTTTCTGAGCCAGTGGTAGGTTTTCATGTTTAAGATAAGGGATAGGTCCTGTTCGATGTGCTTCCTCCTCAGAGAAGAAGTTACTAGTTGTATTTCTTCCCTGGCCTAAGAAACCATGTTTCTTGTTGAGTTTGGTAAAGCAATCCCAATGAATTTAATGTTCAATTAAAGAGTGCCCTTGTTCAAAGAAAAAGTTCTTTCTAGGGAGACAAATATCTAAGCTTGATACATAAATTTGTAAACTTTCTTACACTTGATAAAACTCTCAAATTCTTCCCTCCATTTCTTGGCCCAAATTGATGTGTCAGTGGGCCAGGAGGCGAAAGTTCAAGGTTTAGACATACAAAACTTCCTCTGAGTAACTTAAGCTGAGAGGAGGCTGAGGAGCTGACAGATAGGGGGCTGTATTGCAAGTAATTTTGTCTGCCCAGAATTCTGCATTTTCCTCAGGGGAATGATCTGAACTCTTAATCCCATTTCGCTATAATATTCAGCCCTGCTTCCTAAATCTACTTGATTTTAAAAACAATAATTAAGACTATATAGTAAGCCTTTATTGACCTAAACCTCCCCAGACCATTTTGGTCAATATCTGTCAAGCTGAGTGTGATAGGAAGACAAGAAAGACTGGCATAGCTTTAGAGTTTGAGTCTCTGGTTACACAGCTGTGATCCATAATTTTTTTTTTTTTTTTACTTATTGCACTTTTTAAAATTTTATTTTATATTGGAGTATACTTGATTTAAAATACTGTATTACTTTCAGGGGTACAGCAAAGTGATTCAGTTATACATATATCCACTCTTTTTTCACATTCTTTCCCCATATAGGTTATTACAGAGTACTGAGTAAAGTTCCCTGTGCTATACCATAGGTCCATGTAGATTATCTACTATACACCTAGTGGTGTATAGGTATTAATCCCAAACTCTTAATTTATCCTTCTCCATCATTCCCCTTTGGTAACCACAAGTTTGCTTTCTATGTCTGTGAGCCTGCTTCTGTTGTACTTACTGAATTTCTTCATAGTTCAACAGAAGAATCCTATCTCTTCCAGTATAAGAGTTCTATTCAGTTCAGTCACTCAGTCGTGTCTGACTCTTTGCCACCCCATGAACCACAGCAAGCCAGGCCTCCCTGTCCATCATCAACTCCCGGAGTCCACCCAAACCCATGTCCATTGAGTCGGTGATGATATCCAACCATCTCATCGTCTGACATCCCCTTCTCCTCCTGCCCCCAATCCCTCCCAGCATGAAGGTCTTTTCAAATAAATCGGCTCTTCACATCAGGTGGCCAAAGTATTGGAGTTTCAGCTTCAACATCAATCTTTCCAATGAACACCCAGGACTGATTTCCTTTAGGATGGACTGGTTGGCTCTCCTTGCAGTCCTAGGGACCCGCAAGAGTCTTCTCCAACACCACAGTTCAAAAGCATCGATTCTTCTGCACCCAGCTTTCTTTATAGTCCTACTCTCACATCCATACATGACTACTGGAAAAACCATAGCCTTGACTAGACAGACCTTTGTTCACAAAGTAATGTCTCTGCTTTTTAATATGCACATTGGCCATAACGTTCCTTCCAAGGAGTAAGCGTCTTTTTATTTCATGGCTGCAGTCACCATCTGCAGTGATTTTGGAGCCCCTCAAAATAAAGTCAGCCATTGCTTCCACTGTTTCCCCATCTATTTGCCAGAAAGTGATGGGACTGGATGCCATGACCTTAGTTTTCTGAATGTTGAGTTTAAGCCAACATTTCTACTCTCCTCTTTCACTTTCATCAAGAGGCTCTTTAGTTCTTCTTCACTTTCTGCCATAAGAGTGGTGTCATCTGCATATCTGAGGTTATTGATATTTCTCCCAGCAATCTTGATTCCAGCTTGTGTTTCTTCCAGCCCAGTGTTTCTCATGATGTACTCTGCATATAAGTTAAATAAGCAGGGTGACAATATACATCCTTGATGTACGTCTATTCCTGTTTGGAACCAGTCTATTGTTTCATGTCCAGTTCAAACTGTTGCTTCCTGACTTGCTTACAGGTTTCTCAAGAGGCAGGTCAGGTGGTCTGGTATTCCCATCTCTTTCAGAATTTTCTGCAGTTTATTGTAATCCACACAGTCTAAGCCTTTGGCATAGTCAATAAAGCAGAAATAGATGTTTTTTCTGGAACTCTTGCTTTTCTGATGATCCAGTGGATGTTGGCAATTTGATCTCTGGTTCCTCTGCCTTTTCTAAAACCAGATTGAACATCTGGAATTTCATGGTTCATGTATTGTGGAAGCCTGGCTTGGAGAATTTTGAGCATTACTTTACTAGCATGTGAGATGAATTCAATTGTGCAGTAGTTTGAACATTCTTTGGCAGATCCATAATTTTTTCTCTGCTTGCCTCATCACTTGGTTCTCAGAATATGATTTCCCTTTGGCATTTTGCATTAGTGCCATGGTATGAAATATCTGTACAGTGAAATTTCCCTTATATCTGAGTTTATTGGCAGGTGCAACGTATCCTTCTGAAGTGGGAGAGTGAACTAATTTTCTTGTTACCTTACAAGTGGCAGGTGGTGAGAGTGTTGCAAAAAGTGCCTTATATAAAATAGATTTAAATGCATATTGATAAAGATGTGGTTAGTTGATGCCATTCAGCATGGTTGTAAGGTGTACTGATAAAGTTTTTCTCCCAACTCCAAAGGCAAGCAGTGAATTTCATTCTGATTGATCTGATTTTTCTTTTTCCCATTCAGACCTGATGGTGGAGTTTATTGTAACACACATGATGAAGGAGTTTCCTATGGATCTCTATGTGTAAGTACCATGGTTCATTTAATGTGTGCAAATCTATTTTATAGAATTGAGTGTAAGAAGTTTAATAGTCACAAAATTTTTATGTATACTTCACTTCAGGAAAAGCACATGTATATGCAGAGAAGTGTCAGGGAGTGTTTTATGGCCTGGGTTTATATGTTTTTCCAGAAAGAGGGGAAAGCACAAACCACATATCTTCATTATCACTTTTAGGCACACTGCATGAAGAATAGGGCTGCTATGTTGAAGCAGAGATCATGGGTGACTCTTGTATCCAAAGATATGGAATACCAGCAACCCTCTTAGTCATCCCTAGACCTTGGCATCAAAGGAGTCAGCAGTATTTAGAAGGTAGGGAAAGGCCAGAGAGAGAGGTCTTTTGGTTCATTCTTAGCCTACGTTGTACTAGCAACCTAGTCAGAACTCCACTAGCTAGTTAGATTGTGTATATATAGTGGCCTGGCTGAGAGTCTCCTGCCTCCCGAGGGGATCTGGTTGTCTGTCACAATTCTTTACAGTCAGTATAACTAGAAACAACTGAAAGTCTTCATATTTTAATAAAGTTTAAGCCTTTAGGCTTTCTTCTTTGCTATTTCAGCATTCTTCTTTTTATTAATGTCTAGGAACAACTGTGCCATATTAGTGTGATCTCAAGTATATGTATTATCTTTATTCCTTAAAATGCATCTGGATTCAGTCTGACAACAGAATTAGTACCTCCACTTTTTCCCAAGTAAGAGAAAAGTTTGGTGCACAGCAAGCTTAGTGTACCTCATTCCAATGCTGAGCCTGGGATCTGGGAAGATATGAAGGATTTTACTATGAATGGAAGATCTCTAGTTTTTAGACTATTTGTAGGCTACGTATTCTTAATTCCTAGGTATGAAATAAGATACAAATTTTACTTTTAGATAAGTAGTTTCTGGTTTGCATTTTTCTGTATCTTTTGGTTGTTTAAAATTAGTTTGACCCTTTATTTCATGCACTGCGGGCAGATTCCTTAACAACTGAGTTATGAGGGAAGCCCCTTATTGCAATTTAAAGACCATGAAAAGCTCTTTTTTTAAACACTTATCAAAAAAAAAAAAAAAAAAAACAAACACTTACCAGATGAATTTTCTGCTTATTTTAGATGGGATTGCTGAACATCAGTACCTCAGGGATTATATTTGTTTCGCTACAGGCTTTAATTTTAGCTTATTTATCTTATGTTCTAGTTCTAAGATAGAGTATTTTTCTTCTTTTTTGTAATATATTACTATAGTCTTAGTTTACTTATTTTCCAAGGAAGGAAGCTGAGGGTTCGTAATCCACTCTAATTCAACTGAAGGTTGGATTATTCTGTTAGTAAGCACCAGTGTCTGGACTTGAACCCAAGTTTTCTTACAGTACATCCTAAGTTGTTCCCACCCCTTGTCAGGTGTATTATCTATTGCTGTGTAACAAACTACTCCAAAACATAGGGTTTAAAGCAGGCATTTATTGCTTCACAGTTTCTGTGGCTCAGCGATCCAGTAGCAGCTTTCAGCATAGGGTTTGATATGGGCCTCAGTCAATATGTTAGCTTTCCTGCGGCTCTACTGGGGCTGGAAAATTGCTTCAAAGCTCACTTACATGGTTGTTGGTAAATCTCAGTTCCTAGCCATGTGGGTTGTTTGACATGACAGCTGACTTTCTCCAAAGCAAGTAATACAAGAGAGAAAGAAAAGGAGAGTGAGAGCCCAAGATGGAAACCATGGGGCCTTTTATAACCTAATCTCAGACGACATACCATTTCTATTGGTCTCACAGACCAAGCCTAATGCAGTGTTGGAAGGGACTCCATAAGGATGTGAATCCCCAGAGGTGGGGACCATTGGGGGCCATCTTGTGGGCTGGCTACCACAGTTGCGTATGTATGTTGCATCACCAAGATTCAAGCTCAAGTCTGTCTTAGGAAAGAGGCTGTACTCTTTCTTAATTACCACTATGATAAATGACAAAGAAAAGATTTGTACAGGGTGACTAATGCTCACTGGGGCATCAGAGAAGGCTGCGCTTGACCTGAGTCATGAAGAAATAGTAGGCAGTTTTGTATACAGAGGAGTGAGGAGCAACCTCCCAAGCAGGGGACTAGGATGTTCAAAAGCTTGGGGACTTGATACTTTGGAGAATAGAAAGAAATTCAAAAGGATTAGCATATAGGGTGCATGGAGGAAGGCCAAGAGGGTAGAAAAAGTATTACCTGAAATAAATGGATGATGGGTAACAGTTGAAGGTGGGGATGACATGATTAGACTGTGCTCAGCACTTAGAGTTATAGATACCTATCTGTCTACTAAACCCTCACATCCCAGCCAGTGAACCTGATCTTCCCTCTTCCCCCTGGTTCCTGCCTTTTTTTTTTTTTTACTTTGCTTTGCTTTCTCAGTTCCTTTTCCACCTGCTTCCTAATTGGATGTCCTGAGGTTAAGGAAGATGGAGAAGATAATGAGCATCAAGCTGACAGAGACTGGGCAGAAGGTCCCACCCTCAGGCTGAATTCACTTTCTCCATTACTACCCCTGGGCATATTTCCATATCTGCCTCCTCAACTTCCAGCCCTCTTTCCAGTTTCTGGCATTTGGAGCGTCAGGTCCTTTTTAGGTGAACTTATCTGCTCCCAGCTGGGATTCAGGCCAAGTTGCTGCTCTCACTTATCATTATATACTGCTTTTCAGCAGCATACAGCAAAATAAGAAATTGAAAGTAAAATGAATTTCTACCATTTCAGATAAGTTTGTAATCCTCCTGGTGAAATATGAAGCAGTACAGAATATGGAAAGACTTAATACTCAAGCCAGAATCTGGGTCAGAAACAGTTTCATATCTGTGTGTGAATGCTGTAGGTAAAGTAATAATGGAGAAAGGTGCTTATACAAAAAAAAAAAAAAAAAAAAAAAGTTTTGCCTGGAACATTAGGAGGTAGGAAAACCCAACCAATTAATTTCCTCTTCTGGCTGCTACTCTTTGATTCTTGCTGCCAACCACTACTGCTGGCACAGGATTGGGAGTTAGGGGGAATGGTCTCTGAGGAGAGAAAACTCTCCTTTAAATTACTCGTATGTGGAAAACTTGGACTCTTTCTAAATCAGGAATTCTCAGACCTGTGGGTAGAGACTTCAGTAGACCCCACAAGAAGAGTTTCAAGTTAAAGTGGAACTGTCTTGTGTTGAAATAGGAAACTGCTACATGTATAAAAGAAATGCCCTAAACTGTCAGTTTGGAGTCATTCAGCCAGCATATCTTTGAGATCATAACAGGTTTTAAAATTTTCATTCTGTTTGGTAAGTAATATAAGTTACTGAGACCACAAGGCAAATGATGTCCCTTGTTGGGTGGCTGCAGGAAAAGGAACGGAGCCTGGAGTGGATATAAAAAGCCTTTGAACCAGAGTTGGCTGGCTCCGGAGTGTGGTGACACAGATCGTGTCTCATTGCTGCTCCGTAGTGGCTCGGTGCTGGGATGATGTCAACAGAGACACGGTGCAGCGTCCAGATCTAGGATGCATGAGAAGTCCTGATGTCCAGGAGTGTTCTGTGGGGGTGGTCATGCATGGGCAGTGGCCAGCTACCCTTGCTGGCTGCAGCGCTGGTTTCAGCCCCAGGGAGGGACCTAATGACTATCAGTTTAATGGCAAATTGATAGAATAGTTTGTATTTTCCTAAGTTAAATCATGGCTCAAACGAGGGCATCCTATAGCTACTGATAGCTGCATCACATGGACGATCACACCACAATTTCTAAAAATCAGCAAATGGTTTGGAAAGTATTAGGAATATTTACACTACAATTTGTATCACTTTGTAAGTGGTTTTGATACAGTTTATTTAGAGAATGAGTGTTAATCACTCAGTCATGTCTGACTCTTTGCGACCCCATTGGGCTCCTCTGTTCCATGAAATTCTCCAGGCAAGAATACTGGAGTGGGTTGCCATTCATTTCCTTCTCCTGGGGATCTTCCCAACCCAGGGATTGAACCTGGGTCTCCTGCATTGCAGGCAGATTCTTTTCCGTCTGAGCCACCATCCTATATTCTCTATATTCTTTTTAGAGAATAAAAGGGAATTATTTAAAAGTTTTGTTGTATGTATATATTTCTGTCTGGTTTGTAAAATATTTTTAATATATACTGAAGTCTTTTAAGAGAGATCTCTGTCACATAGTCCTCTTATAAAATTCTATCTGAAAGTCTCCTGTAAGACCACTTAGAACTATGAAGAATGGAAAGAACAGAGAGATGTGAATAATGAGGCATGTAGAACAGGCTAGTGAGGTAGCAGGCCCATTCCATTATTGGAATTATTTTGAAAACTTGCAGGACTTTTAACTTACAAATTTATTTCTCTTCATTTGTGTCTTTGATGTGTTGTCAGGTACTTTAATGTCCTTGTGTCTCACCCTACAGAGGGAAGTTTGTCATTTTTTGTTGCTGCTGTTGGTAGTGGTCAGGTTTTTTTCTCCCCCCCTTTTTCTTTTGCCCTCTGCTAAGAGGCCCAGAAAATTAGCTGTCACCATTTTTGCTTGATTTCATGAGCTGTAGGATTGATATCCTACGTATTGATATGATGTCTGCTGAAGTTAGTAGGATCTCAGGATACTCTGTCTCATATTAACACCCCAGAACCTGAGAGAGTCTTACTCTCACCTTTAGAAGTATTGTCTTTCAGCTGAATTTCAACTGCGGCATATTAGGTGTGGGGAAGCCACTTTTTGCTGCACCCTTTTGCCTTGCTTACTTCTGTTTTCTTTGCTTCATTCTTTGGTGTCAGAAGAGTTTTGGGAGAAAGAGCCTCTTTATTTGCCTGAAACTAGCAGACTATCTAGATCTAATTTCCAGGAACTTGACAGTTTAGTTTTGGTAAGACTTAAGTGCTAGATCTTCATTTGGTTTGCAGTCAGTATTTATGGAATGAATGAAGATAGGTCTGATGGTTTCCTGTGAATCTTTTGTTTGTGTGATGAGCTTAGAGCTTCAAAGCAATATAGACCAAGACTTGGGCCTCTTTCCTCCCACCCCCAATCTACTTTTTCTACTTTCTGTCTCTATATCTGCCTATTTTGGGCATTTTATGTAAATGAAATTATATATTATGTGATCTTTTATGTCTGACCTTTTACTTAGCATATTTCCAGGATTTTATCCATGTTACTGTGTTCCTTTTTTATGGCCAAGTGATATTCCATTGTTTGAGTGTACAACATCATTCATTTATCCATTAATTAGTTGATAGACATTTGGGTTGTTCATACCTTTAGCTGTCAGCATTAAAATCTGTATTAATTTGGTTTGCAAAAATAGAACCTTGTTGGGGAGTTCCCTGCCAGTCAGTAGGTTAAGATTCCACACTTGCACTCTAGGGGGCACAGGCTCTAGCCCTGGTTGGGGAGCTAAGAGCCCTCAGCCACACAGTGTGCCCCCAACCCCCAAAAAAAGAACCCAGAATCTTGTTTTAATGTACCTTTTTAAGGTGAAATTGAACATTTTAGGAAAATGTTAACTTTCCATATTTTTCCTCTTTTTGGGGATGGAGGGATTTGTTGTCCATTTCCTTTGCCCATCTTATTAGGTGTGTTGTTATTTTTTCTTATCGATTTATATAAACTCATATGCATTAAGCATAGTAACCATTTCATGCCATTTGTTGCAAATGTAATTTCCCATATTTGGCTTTTAATTTTAATCATTACAATCTTTTTAATTGAGATTTTTATTTTTCAAATTTATTTTAAAGGCTTTTTAAAAAAAATTATTTATTTTGGCTGCAGTTGGGTCTTAGTTGCGGTACGTGGAATCTTCGTTGCATCATGCGAAGCATTTCTGCAGAAGCTTTTGTTGCGTTCCTCTCTAGTTGTGGTGTGTGGGCTCAGTAATTATGGCCCATGGGCTTAGTTGTGCCACAGCATGTGGGATCTTAGTTCCCCAACTAGGGATCGAACCTATGTCCCCTGCATTGGCAGGTTCTTAACCACTGGACCACCAGGGAAGTCCCAAGATTTTTATTTTTAGGAAGTAAATTTTATCAATATTTTCCTTTATACATTCACTCATAGCTTTTTAAGCTTTCAAAATTCTTCCCCATTCAGAGATGAAAGGACATTTTTTTGGTTAGGTTTACAATGTTTAAAAAATGTCTTTCATTTTTCAGTTTACTTGGAAATATTCTCAAAAGCATTTTTGTTGTTGGGATGTGAATAATGTTTAATAGTCCAGTGATCTAGAATAGCACTGTCAGTATAATTTTTGTGATTATAAAAATGTTCTGTTTGTCTGTGTTGTCCAATATGGTAGCCACTAGGCACACATGACTTATGAGTACTTGGTTAGTGCAACTGAAGAACTGAATTGTTAATTTAACCTTTAATGTAAATCAAAATTTAAATATTATTTAAAATCTTATTTACATTAAAAACATATTTAAATAGATCTAAAGTCTTAAGTTCTTTAATTTTACATCTTTGCATCCCATGTTTGCAGTTTCAAATGTAGTCTCATTTTGGTTCATGGTGCATTCTTCCTCTGAGGAAAGATACTCAAGGGAATGGTAAAAGTAGTGCCTAATTGCATACTGACTTAGATGTGGTTATAACTCCCTTTTTCTAGAGATAGGGGAGTTAGCACAAGTTACGTTGTGTGTGTTTGGGGGTGGGGTTTTTATCCACCAGAAAGTTGCAGAAGTTCCTTTCTTTCCCATGTATACAGATTCATATCCAGTGTTTTTTGTGGTCTTAGCAAAAGTTGCCTTGTTAAAGAAAGGGTATCTGTGGTAAGTTGCACCGTAACTTTAGACTTATTCCAGTTTTTCTCTTTTTCTGTTCCAGGCGCTGCATTCAGGTAGTACATAAACTACTTTGCTATCAGAAGAAGTGTAGAGTACGTCTGCATTATACCTGGCGTGAACTCTGGTCAGGTAACTTTCTCTTTTGAATTCATCATCTTTTCCTATATGTTTTATGAGCTGCTGTGCCTGGGCATAGATGAATTTAAAACAATGAAACAAATGTTTTAGTTTGTTTAGGATGCTTGTATTTTCAACTTTTGTCATTTCAGCCTTGTTGTAATCCAAACCTGGGCATATCACCTATATATCTATTTTATACTTGCTCTCTTGTTCCTTCTCCCTGTATTTTTTTGTCAGCTGGCAGAAACAATTAAATATTTCTTGAGTTCCATTGATTCTTCCATTGAGAAGTCAGTACAAACTTGGATTCTCTCTTGGTTCTATTCGGTAACAGCATATGGACTATAGGGAGGCTTCTGTGTGTTTCCTGGGGATGAGTAATCTCAGGAGGAATGTCTTAGGGAGAGGGGGTTGGGAGGGGGTGGAGAGATGGGGGGACACCCTATTCTTTGTGTTACATCTGGCATTATTACTGTTTACAGACAGTGTCAGTTTTACCACTCCCCTTGTGCCAGAGATAAAAACAGCAAATTACAGTGTTTACTTTTGTCTTTGTATACATTTGGTAGCCCAGTAAAGTTACTGCCACCCCTGTTGGGGAAAAGAGTGGCTCTTCTCTAAGGGTACAATTAATACTGGCTTGACACCCCTTTCTTTTGTGCATCTAAATTGGAGGTTTCAGAAAAGCAGAGGAGACATGTTTCCTGAGGCATTTGCTTGCTGATAGTCCTGTGGCTTTTGTGACCTGATAGTACAATAAAATCTTCTCCAGATGATTATAGTGGTAAATTGTTGCCCCACCCTTGGGAGAGCTTCTCTGTACTCTGAGCAGAGAAGTGTGTGTGTGAATATGGGAGGCTTTGTGAGAAAGCAGAAGCAGGCCAGTAACCCCACCCCCTCCTATGAAATTCATCTTGCTTGTTGTGACACATGGTTTCCTACCAACCCAATTTGGCTTTCTAAATTTAGTCCTTCATAATGGGAAGTAGAGATCTTTAATTAATGGATTAGCAACTTCTTTGCAGTTGCTGCCTATGGTATTGAAGGGGGAGTAGGATAATAACACTAATGGCAACAGTGGCATTTTGATATTTTAGGAGAAAGAGTGTGATTATGTGAGAGTTGAAAATTGAGAGAATGTTAGAAAAGGTAAAGAGAGATCAAGAGATTGAAATGACTAAAGTTTGAATTTCTTAGGTTGGAATAATTCTTTCTAATATAAAGGACTATTTGGTTGCCTGTGCATTAGTTGTATAATTAATTAGTTGTATGGTTAATTTAAAAATTTAGAATTAAAGAGAAAACACAAAAAGGATGCAAATCTGTGGACATTAGTGTAACAAGTACAAATGGCTTATGTCTGTAACTGGAATGAAGTTACACATTGTAGTACTAAAGAGTTGATGGTAGTAGTTATTTTTGCCTGCTTTTGATTCTTTTCTGTTTTTATTTTCTTTTTATTCTATCACCTTTACTTTCTCTCCTAGCTATCCTTTCTCTTGCCTCTAGGAGCTCTCTGGCTTTTCTCCTATCCTTGTCATCAGTTGTCCTCTTCCTCATTTCTCCTCTTCTGTTGTCTTTTTCATTGCCTTCTCCTGTTCACCCTCGTCTGTCTTCCTCGGTCCTAGGGTTCCATTTATTCTCTTACTCCCTTGCATTCTGCCCTTTGTGCTGTTGTTGTCATATGTTTAACTTTTATATATTTTATAAACCCCAAAATACATTTCCATCATTTTAATTTAAAGAGGCACTTATCTTTTAAAGAGATTTAAAAAGTATCTTTTATATGTATCTTTTCTGGATCTTAGCTTTCCCTATTCCAGTGAGAAACTGTGAAGCAAGAGACCATTCTTTATCCTGTATTGACTTTATTTCTTTGGGTGCTTTATGTCATGTTTAACTCTTTGTATAATTATTTGCTATCTCAGGACTGATTGGCATGCTAAGGCCCTTGATAGATTGAGAGGAGGTGTATATGAGTGTCATTCATGAGGCTTGGATGGCTGCTTGTTCCAGGCATAGGCGTTTGTACTGGAGTTCTCTGCCAGGTGAGGTTAGCTCCTTTTCTATGTAGACTGGGTGAGCCCTCTTGTAACCTGACTCCTTGTGTTCATACATGGAGTATATACAGTGAGATGCAGAGCAGCAGGTGTTAAGGAAAGCTGCAAAATACTAGACTACATCTGATGCATCAGAGCCCATAATAATGTATAATATTGTAATCGGTGAATATAAATGTGTCTATGGTGGATCCACCCATCCTTGGCTGGTAATATCCCTCATATGTCGGTTTGCCCATGTTTTCATTCTTTCTTTGCCTTCTAGATGTATAGATTTGAGGGAGATATGTGAAACTCATCATGGCAAATATGCTTAAGTACAGATGCTTGCCCATACATGTATTGCAAACTTTAGTTGAATTTTACTTGCAAATAAAACTGGTAAGGCATGTGTTGTTAGGTCAGACACATGAGAGACCTCAGCTGCCCAGGAAGCATGGATGGCAGATGCCTTTTATTATTTGGAATGAGAGTGTTTAGTCTCACTGCACTTTGAGTGGTTATTTTTATTCTTATACTGTTTGACTACCTCTTTCTTTTTGGGGAAGTAGCCAGGGATCCCCCTCCAAATTCCTATATGGAGTTTTCAGGTTTGGTTTTATAATAAGGAGGAGCCAGCTACATTCAGTTCAGTTCAGTCGCTCAGTCGTGTCTGACTCTTTGTGACCCCATGAATGGCAGGATGCCAGGCCTCCCTGTCCATCACCAACTCGTGGAGTTCACACAAACCCATGTCCACTGAGTCAGTGATGCCATTCAGCCATCTCATCCACTGTCGTCCCCTTCTCCTCCTGCCCTCAATCTTTCCTAGCATCAGGGTCTTTTCAACTGAGTCAGCTCTTCACATCAAGTGGCCAAAGTATTGGAGTTTCAGCTTCAACATCAGTCCTTCCAATGAACACCCAGGACTGACCTCCTTTAGGATGGACTAGCTGGATCTCCTTGCAGTCCAGGGGACTCTCAAGAGTCTTCTCCAACACCATAGTTCAAAAGCATCAATTCTTCTGTGCTCAACTTTCTTTATAGTCCAACTCTCACATCCATACATGACTATTGGAAGAGCCATAGCTTTGACTAGATGAACCTTTGTTGGCAAAGTAAGGTCTCTGCTTTTTAATATGCTATCTAGGTTGGTCTTAACTTTCCTTCCAAGGAGTAAGCGTCTTTTAATTTCATGGCTGCAACCACCATCTGCAGGGATTTTGGAGCCCCCCAAAATAAAGTCAGCCACTGTTTTCACTGTTTCCCCATCTATTTGCCATGAAGTGATGGGACCAGATGCCATGATCTTAGTTTTCTGAATGTTGAGCTTTAAGCCAACTTTTTCACTCTCCTCTTTCACTTTCATCNAGAAATAGCTCAACTGGAATTCCATCACCTCTACTAGCTTTGTTAGTAGTGATGCTTCCTAAGGCCCACTTGACTTCACATTCCAGGATGTCTGGCTCTAGGTGGGTGGTCACACCATCGTGATGATCTGGGTTGTGAAGATCTTTTCTGTAGAGTTCTTCTGTGTATTCTTGCCACCTCTTCTTAATATCTTCTGCTTCTGTTAGGTCCATACCATTTTTGTCCTTTATTGAGCCCATCTTTGCATGAAATGTTCCCTTGGTATCTCTAATTTTCTTGAAGAGATCTCTTGTCTTTCTCATTCTGTTGTTTTCCTCTATTTCTTTGCATTGATCACTGAGGAAGGCTTTCTTATCTCTCCTTGCTATTCTTTGGAACTCTGCATTCAGATGCTTATATCTTTCCTTTTCTCCTTTGCTTTTTGCTTCTCTTCTTTTCACAGCTATTTGTAAGGCTTCCTCAGAGAGCCATTTTGCCTTTTTGCATTTCTTTTTCTTGGGAATGGTCTTGCTCCCTGTCTTCTGTACAATGTCATGAACCTCCATCCATAGTTCATCTGGCAGCTATGTTAGTTGGGGCTTTAATCCTGCCTAATAAGTTGGTTTTACAGATGTAATCCCTGACCTACTCCCTGCTGCCATGGTCTATTTATATGATGCCTGTCACCATGGTATCTGAGTAGATGCAGAAATATATTTAGGCTAACCTCAACTTGAATATAGAAAGGAAAATGTTTTGTCTTTCTCATTACCCTATTTTCAGCAGTCACTGTTTTCCACCAAGTGATGGGAAGTTCAAAAGCTCTTCTCTGACCTCTAGGCTACCCAAACTTCCTATCTTGAGTAAAAGATTAGGTCTTAAAATGCTTGTCTGATAAAGATAGAAAACCAAGTTTTAGGGTGAGATCCTAGTGAAATAGTTCTTTGCTTTTGAGAATATAATGAAAGATATCTTTGCATCCAGAAAAATGTCCATTTGCACATATATATTTTGCATATAATTTCAGAGAGTTCATGGACCTTCTTCTGAAGCCTATCCATGATCCAGTGTTAAGCATCCCAGTCTTTCTGTGACTGATTCATGTTGATATATGGCAGAAACCAGCACAACATTGTAAAAGAAATTATCCTCTAATTAAAAATAAATTAAAAAATAATTAAATACAAACAAAAAAAGTCTCAAGTTGGAATCCAGAGGGTGTGGGGGGAAGAATCGCTATCTTAATTTTAGCAATTAGCCCCCCAATTCTGTCTTCACAGAACATCTTTATGTTTGGTTAGATAGTTTTTCTTTATTTACTGATCGTATTGCATTCCTCCTGGGAACTTTAGTTTTATATCTGAACTTGAGACTGAAGACTGATGTTGGTCACTATGTTTGGTTCCTGTTATTCTCACAGAACTTTGGGCTTCTGTTTTAGCGTATCACATTATTATGCTGTGTTTGCACATGTCTGTACAATGATTTGCTTAAATTATATGTTTTTCCTCTTAAAAAAAATTCCTGGAGGGCAGGGCCTGAGTTTTAATCATTGATTTATTCCCAGCACACTACTTGGCTTGTAACAGGGGCTCAGAAAACATTTGAGTTAATAAATAA